TTGTAAGTTAACGGTTAAGCTTTTCTTCAAAGGCTCAAGCATAATTATTATCCAATTTATTGAAATTAATAATAAAATCAATCACTGGTGTTCATGATAAAGCGTATAGGTCCTGTTTCGATTTTTCTCATCATCAGCGCTTATATAGGATTATTTCAAATTTCATGATCAGCAATGATTTTCTTATTAATTTCAATAAATTGGATTATAATTATAAAATATTGAAGGGCTCAAGCGTAAACTTTCAAAAGCTATTTTGTTTATTTACAACAGTAGCTACTTCGCCACACATCATCATCCATAATAATTCGACTTCACGGAGACTTTTGAAAAATTTTGAATCATTTTATTTTCTGACTTTCCTCTTTATCGTAGTGAGTGGAACGTGGTCTGTGCTAGAAAAACATTTGTTTCCATCGAATATGGTCATTTCTTATTTGGTTTCATTCATTTTTAAGTTTAAATTTTGTTGTTAAGCGATAATATCCTCCAAATGATAACATTACAAAAATGTAAAACAATTATTATTACTGTTGTTTGTGCTACTACTATAATAGCAACCACACTATCATTACTATTACTGCTACTACTACTACTACTACCACCATCACCACTACTACTACTACCACTATCACTACTACTACTACTATTACTATTACTACTTTTACTACTATTATTACTGCTACTACTACTACTACTATGATTACTACCTTTTTAATTCTTATTATAATTCAATTACGTCTCAGCCAATACTCTTGCTATTAATGTAACAATCACGTTTAGATTCACAACTACATGCTAAGCCACCAACAAAAACAACAACAACACTCAGTTATGTATCAAAATTCGTAAATGTAAATATTTACTGAATTTAATAATATAATTATACAGCTGTATGCCAAGCAGAACTATTATTTATATTAATACATTTTAAAGCTGATTGAACAATGCTTGCAAGGACATCTCATTCACTCATTCATTCATTCATTCCTTGATGAAGTATTTTTGTTATTTTTTTACTTACTTTTTAACTTTTTGAAACATTATATCAATAAATTTATCTATTTTAGCGACGTTTTGTTGGGATTTTTTTATGTGTAGATAGATGTTTTTAACATTGTTTATGTTATAAAAGGTAACACGTTATACTGAATACATGGCAAATCTTTTTTTTATTTGCACTATTTTTCTATAATTTGTAAAGCAACATGGTGGTTTAGATTTTACTGGATTTTTCAGAAAAAATTGTTTAATTATTTAGAAAAGTAAATTTGTTTATTGCGTTATTGTTTCATTTTTATCGAATTAAGGTCTAAATATTTTTTGGTCTGGTGATGTTCCATAATTATTTTATCTACGATTTGATTCGTCGTATCATTTTAAATAAGATTGAAAACATTTTTAGTTGTTTTTTTAAATATCTTTGTTGGGTATGATGAATAAAATTTTTATGAAAAAATTTATCTTTAGAATTTAAAAATAACATTTTTTGTTATTTCTTAAACTGCCTTCTTCTCCACTTACTATCTCCTCATCATCTTTTCCATCATCATTTCTTCATCATCAGCACACGAACACGCCGCGTTTGTATTTAGTCTTATTTACTCACTTATTCATTCATTCATACACTCACACACACACATACATACACACACACTCACACAGAAAGAGAGAGAGAGGGGGGGAGAGAGAGACTATTTAAATATACGCAAGTTTAGATATCTCTACAACTATTAATGCCGCATCTTCCTATACGTGGATGAGTTATGTTATACAGTTGTTGACTTGCTGTGTTGCACTGAACACTACATTTATTGCACACAATGATTTTATGACAAGTACAAAGGTATATACATTTTGTAATACTACTAGAGTGTACGACTTTGAGCGTACGTTCAATGTTGCTTGTACAACATAAATACCTTTTAAATACGCGATGAAATATATTGTATTTTCAAATCGTTTTAATATAATTATTGCTTAGAGTGACACAACATAAAATACCTCTTTTTTGTATTTGTACGCGATATAATACCGCATGTGTACCGTAAAATATCATAAAAGTACAGATAACTGCGGTGCGTAGTGAATGAGGTATTTGTTATCTGGGTATTGTTCACTATCTTTTGAGGATGGTTGGTTGGTTGGATGTGTGCTTATAATGCCAGCACATCTGGACTGCAGATAATTTTATCATCAACACCATTTTATCATCTCAGTCGTCATCACCATCATTTTAATCATCCTAATCATCTGGATACTCACTCATCTTCAACTCACATTCGATATCATCTTCACAACAATCACCATCACTGTTATGTTATAGTGAGCGTAACATACACTTGATAACCAATGGCCATGTTGCGATTCTACAGCCAGTTATGATTCTACAGTCATCATCGTTATCGTTATCTTCTTCATCCTTGTTTGTTATCATCTTTGTCATCGACAACCTCATCATCTGGAGATCCTACTCATCGTCCTTATCATTGTTTTGTCACCAGGAACATCATCATCATCATCACCACCACCACCATCTTTATTGTTATTATTATTGTTATTATTACTACTACTACTACTACTACTACTACTACCGCGAATGGCATACAATGATATTTTTATTTTTCAAAATTGAAATTTTTTTTTAGCCAGCTGAGAGTTAAGAACGCACATTGCGTTTTTAATTATTTTTAATAAAATAAAAGATTTTTTTTTATTATCAATGTATGAAATAAAAAATTTAGAAAGTTGTAAATAAATAAATAATTATAAATAATATTATATTTAATATATATATGAAATATAAATGACTAAAATTTAAACGTGAAAAAAAATAATGCAATATTTAAGAGTTGTTTGTTTAAGAAGGATGTAATTGAATATGCTGCTGCTTGTGATGTGATGACGTCGTGTGAACCAAAAGACAGTGCGTATGTGTGCGTGCGTGTATGTATCTATACGTGTGTGTGTCCGTGTGTGTGTCTGTGTGTGTGTGTGTGTGAGAGAGAGAGAGTTTGAATACGTAAATGGGTGGTTATGTGGGGTATGCGTGTGTGCAGTAGAAAGTGTGTTTAAGTTTGTTTGAATGTTTATGTGATGGTGCGAATGTGTGCTGTGTTGTGTACTCTTGTACATGTAAGCGTTTGTTTTCGTACGTACGTATTATTTAACATTTTTATTTTCCATTATGCATTTACTTAATTTTCTATCTCCACGCACACCTGTGTTCAGGCTGGATGAGTTAAAAATTTATTAATGAAATGTTTTCTTGTGGGCAATTCTTTCAAGTTTCCTCAACATCCATAGGTAGCGTTTGTTTGTTTTCTGGAATCTGCTTGTATGTGTTTTGTATGTTTATGTGAGTGTGTGGATGTGTGAACATGTGTATACACATGTTCAAACATCAACAAACACGTACACACACATTCAAACGCACACACACACACACACATACACATCGTTGATGAACTTTGTAACCAGAGTAGAACAGTCATTTGTGTTTGTGTTACATCTTATTATTGTTTGTTATCCTTATGTTCGTCTATTTAGTTCTTATTGTTATTATTATTATTGTTGTTTTTTTACCCTTTCCATTGAATATTATCATAATAAACTATTTTTATTATGAAATTTTGTAAAAATGTGTGCTAACGCTAACTCATATTATCCGTATATGATATACACATTCACACAAAATTATTCACACATAAAAACACGTACAGAAAGGAAGCACCTCAAACACGCATACTACACACACACACACACACACACACACACACACACACACACACACACACACACACACACACACACATATAGCTACGCATACAAATCTACACATCGCATGTACAAAAACAAACACAGTACACTCCCGTATACACATACATAGGTATTTATTCACATACATACGTATTTATTCACATACATGCGCATTATAAACACATACAAAATAAACAAGTTCAAAGATATACACACATACATACACACACAAATATGTACACATGCATACAAATATGCACACACGCACATATATACATACGCATACAAACACCACTGATAAATGTTTGCTATCTAAAAAAATGTAGTTGCTTGTCGTCACTGTCGCCGCTGTCGTCGTGATTTTGTCGCCCTTGTTGTTTTTGAGGTGATGATGACAATGATGATATAACTAATGATGATAATGATGACATAGTTGATGTTGACGACGACGACGATGATGATGAAAGTGATGTGATAATCGTAAACAAACGGTTAGAACTCGAACGTTATATCTACTCGTTTACTCTAAGGCAGGGTGGAGTCACTGATGATGATGATGTTTTTGTTGCTGCTGCTGCTGATGATGATGTTGTTGTTCATGGTAACGATGATGATGATGTTATTGTTGATAATGATGATGATGATGATGATGTTATTGTTTATGACGATTATGTTATTTTTGTTGATGATGTTGTTGTTGATAATGATGATGATGTTGTTGTTGATAATGATGAGGATGATGTTGTTGATGATGATGATGTTGCTGCAGTGCTTGTTAATTTCGGTGATGTTTTTTGGTAAATTGAGGATGACGAAGACGATGATGACGATAAAAACACCATTGGTGACAATAAACAATAACAGATTATGCTGAGTATGATGACGATGATGAAGATGATGATGAAGATGATGATGGTGCGGCTGAAAAAAATCATTTTTCAAACACTTCATAATAAAATTCGTTGAAAACAGAACTTTTTAATATTTTTATTATTTTCATCTATTATTATTATTATTATTTTGTTATTATTATTATTGTTATTATTACTATTATCATCATCGTCAAGTGTACATATTTGTGTTTTTTCTGTTTTTTTTGTATGCATGTGCGTATGTGTCTTAGTAAGTGTACGCCATTCGGTCTATGTTTAGGTTGAGATGACGTAAAATATATTTTTTGTTAAGTTGGAGATGTTTGAAACTTGATTCATTTCATTTTTTTTCAGTTCCTCTTAAGATTTTATTGATTTTTTTAAATTTCTTTTCAAGATTCCACCAATTAATGGCAAACATTCGTTTTATGTTTTTGTAATGATTTCATTTAAATTGCATTAGTAAATATTGCTCGCTTTGATATAGAATTAATTAATATCCGTTTAATTTAAATTAAATTAAATGACTCGTACTCATCCAATTAATTGCACGAGTTAAAATTTAGAGATCTATTAAATGGAGATTTATTAGAGAAAATTAGGCGAAAAGACAGATAAATAATAAAATATTCACCGATGAATGTTGAGTACATGTTGGGAATGTTGAGAACGTATTTGAAACAGTGCGACGATGCACCTACTTGTACTTTTTGTCTTCCATGTAATTCACATGTAAACACAAATGCACAAAGAAATGTAGTATACACAATTACACATGCTAGCATAATGTAAGTACACATGTTGGAATGTAAGTACACAATTTTGCATATACTGTAAGTGCACGGTACTAGAAAAACACACAAACATAACGATAGAGATGGTGGTGAAGACGATGATCAGCATTTGATGTTTGGGTCGGGACGACATTGCACACATCAGCCGATGATCGATCATCCACTTCTGAAACTTGTGTAGCGTATAGTTGATTGTTGTTGTATGGAAGTGAATTGTTTAATTAGTTCGCAAACATCAGTGCATGTACATCAACACCCAAACAACACAACACAGAAACACAAATGTATGTGCCTCTAAAACTTTCACATACGTGCATGTGTATTTTCACACACCACACACAACACACACGCACACACACACACGCACACACACTCACGCACGCACGCACTTTTAAACTTGCATTAGTGCACACGCTCACATATTGCATACAGACTCTAGGTATTCCTTATAAAACTCACATCTCTATATCACATATGTTATATATATACACTCATAAGAAATATATGTCTATATATCATACATTAAGCTCGTACAAATATTAGAAGAAGCACAACATGTCAGAGTGAATCACTTTCCACAGAGCACAAGAGAGCTGACTGTGGAGCGCTATATAAATGATGCTGTGCTGATTGATGATGATGATGATAGTTTTGTTGTTTGACATTATTACTAACTGGAAAAACTGCTTTATTGCGCATAAATATTTAATTATGTCTCAAAAATGATTTGGAACATACTCAGTTGGAACATACTCAGTTAGAACATACTCAGTTGGAACATACTCAGTTTTCATTTGTTCTCGTTTATCGATCAATGTTTCGACGTGTGATTTGATTCAATGTCTTGTTGGCATCGTGTCATTTGACATTTTTTTCAAAAACTGTGATAATTAGGTTATTTTTAAGTTTATTGTTCGATCACTTTGTTAACATTTATAGATTTGACACAGTTTAGAATATAAATTAACAACATGAAATGTTAAAAATGTCAATTAATTTGGTAAAGTGAAATATTTGAAACATTTCCGTTGTTGATGATAATCAATTCAACTGAATCTAGGTTGATGGACTAGATAGCCAACAAGTGAATAACATTCAATCAATTAATATTAGCATCAACATCAAAAACCTTCCTACAAAAAAAAGTTGAAAAGTTTAAATTGCAAATTCAAAAACAGCTGACCATTGGAGCGTGCAACATAAGTTATTAAAAAATGACTGAACTTTTAAAAAATCGTCAAAAGTTGTCTGAAATGATGATGGTGCATGACAGTGGAGAAGAATCATCGAATGCAGATTGCAGTCTCTCAAACAAGAAAAAACGCAGTCGAACCACATTCAGCCAACACCAGCTGGAAGAGATGGAAACCATCTTTCAGCAGAGCCACTATCCAGACCAGTCGGCCAGAGAGCATCTGGCCAATAAGTGTTCCCTGACAGATGGCAAAATACAAGTTGGTATTTGTTTTTTTGTAAACTTGGATCGCCTGTTATTTCTTCAAAAATTTTAATTTTTATCAATGTGAGCAAGTTTTACTAAATTTTTATTGTTAATTTATGTTAGCGAACTATATTTTTAATGCGTTCAGAAAGAAAAATTTACCGTAAAGGCACGTTTTGCGATTGCGACGATGTAGAACACTTCGATTTTATTTCTTTAATGTCGGATAAAAACTTACTATAATAGATTAAATTTCAATGCTTTCCGATTAAATTTTGGACTCAGGTTTGGTTTCAAAACAGGCGTTCAAAGTGGCGGAAGCAACAATCAGCCAAAAAATCCAACAACGTAAGCAACAATATCAGCAATAACTGCAGCAGCAACATCAGTAACAACTACAGCAACAACAGCAATCAAAACATCAACTATAACAACACCAACCAGAATCACGATCAAAATATCAACCATCATAACGCTAGCAACCACATCAACAACTACAACAACCACAACAATCACGTCCTTCTGTTTTCATCGGACGAGAGTGACCAACAACAATCTGCCGACAATGACTACAACCAAGATCAGCGAATATCAGAAATGTTGTACCAAAAAGAGCTGGAATCGTTGCACAGCCCTAACTCTTATACATCCCTACTACCGCCTTTTTCAACATCCTGGCCGAACTTGACTCGACCGAATTTTGAATCGTCTAATGATATCGTCGTCGGATCAGCAGAACATCCATCTCCGATTTCAAATTCTTCAATCGCCAATAATCTAGGAGTCCAGATCGATCGGTTATCAGCGAATGAAATTTCCACTGATATTTGTTTCAGTACCGAAGATGATTCGATTAAATACGGTTTGAATTCTGAAAATCAAAATTTTAAAAGTAAAACTATGGAACCGTCAACCAAACAGTTTTATTACTCTTTAGCCTAATTTAGTGTTCAGATTTTCACGCCAAACATAAACAAACACATCGCGAACACACGCACACGCGCGCACACAAACACACGCCCCACACAGAGTATATATGCATACATACAAATAAATACATACACATACAATGTTTAGCTACCTAAGTATTCGTACATTCATGCACAACACAAACATTCAAACTGTTTATAATTCGCAGACTATGAGCTAGTATATAATAAATCACTATTACTCAATATACAATTTCCCTGATATATCTCAAGTATTGGTTTTAAAACAAACTTCAGTATACATGCAAAACAAGGATGCAACTCCAGACATAAACTACTATCCCTAATTAATTTAACACTCATTTAATATCGTTATCGCTTCTTTTATTTTGTAACTAATTATTTTCCATACATAAGTCATCTTTCTTTATTTCACTATAAACATGTAAAATTATATAAAATTATAATGATAACAATAATAATTATATTTTTTAGGTTTCATGCATTTTTTTTATTTTTATAAAATCAAGATTAAAAAAATTTACTTTTCTGCCAAGCAAAATTGAGAATTGTAAATATCATAAAATTCATTATTTGAACTTGTTTTCAATGAAAAATATGAATCCACCTCGAAATTATTTATAATAATAATAATTATAACAATAATGATAACAATAATAACAACAATAAAAATAATAAAATTACAATAATAATGAAGATGAATGTTTGAAATAATAAACACGCAACGTAAACAATGAGAATTAAAAAGCAAGAAACAAGAGTCACTTGACATTTGTTGGGCTGTTCTTAAGTATTTTAACAAGTAATAAATCAAAACATGATTAGATTTTGTTAGAAAAAAATGAAAAAAAATGTTTTTAATAAACAATGTCAATAAAAAGTTGAAGAAAAACGAAAAAATCAATCTAAAATAACAAAAAATTCACAAGTTAATAAAAACAGTTTATATATATTAAAAATCTTCAATTGAAACAAAAAATGGAAAACCGTTTCAACATTAGCACCCGTGCTAGTAATTTTGTTACTAGTAGTAATGGTAGTAGTGATAATACCAACAGTATTTAAAATATTATAATAGAAATAGTTGGGCGGTGGTCCGAAATTGTTGATAGTTGCTGGTAGCAGCTGTAACCGCAGCTGTCGAAAGTAATATGCTACCGGAAGTAGCAAATAAATTAAAGTAGCAATGGGAGTAAAAGTAGTATCAATTTATCAGTGGCAATTATGGCGGTTTCATACAATTTTCTAACTAATCTTTTTAATAACTGTAAGTAGTATCAATACTACTCCATCAGGAACACTCATTAGCATTTAGCAACGATATTTAATCTAAACAAAACAATAGCTATCGTATTAGACATGAACATACATACACAACACACTTAAATGGTGCAAAATTTCACTAAATAATTACCGCTATTATACTGTGTACAAATAACTTGATAGTTGTGAAAGTTTAGTTTCGAAAAATAAAATACAAAATCATTTTGTTTTGAGTCTTGCCATCTCCAACTGGCATTTACTCCACTTTGGTGTAACAATTGTTAAAATACAAATATAATGCCAAAATACTTTCAAAACACTCAACTGAAAATAAAGATCAACGGTCAGTTTATAACAAACATTCAGGTTTGTTTGATTGAAGGATGAAACCCATATTATTCAGTCAAATGTACCTGAAGAGAGCTCTGACCTCATCGGCAATGGTCGGCTCCTTTATAAAGTACTCCACAAATGGAACCAACTTTTCACTGCTCGAATCGAACCGACCATAAATTATTAGTTTCGTAATTTTTGGACCAGTATTCAACAGTCCGTACCAAACACTTTTGTTACTCTTGCTGCTTGTATGCTTCTGCAGTGGGTACCAGTTTTCGTTGAGACAGATGAAAACTTCGAAAGCAGCAGACGATTCCAACTTGAAGTTGATGTTCGTGTTCATGGGAAGTTCTCCTGTCAGAGGCTCCAACAAGCGACTGTCCCTCCATCGATTCGTCGTGTATGGTAAAATATTTGTTTGTCCCGAAGCCACACGACAATCGAGAAAGCATTTATAGAGAAGTACGTGTGATGGACCTGTTGACGATTTGGGGTTTGCCAGTATGTTGAGCACGTAGTGACCTTTCTGAGGGCATCTGACCAAACATTCCAATTTCGATTCGTTTCTGTATTGTATCATTGCAAATCGGTTGCAATCAATTTCTTTCATGTCCGTTTGATTAAAATAGCTCAGCTCTAACGCTATCCTAACATTACTCTGACGAGTTAAAAAGAATTCGATGACCAGGGAGCCGGTGCAAATGATGTAGGGGTCGAACGATTCAAATATTTGTAGTCCATATTTCTGGCTGTGTGGAGTGTGGCCAAAACTGGTGACGGGTGGGTAAGATAATATTTGGTAGGCGTCTGGAGCAAATGATGAACTGTAAACCAAGAACGAACAAGCATTATCTAATGATTCACATTCCCAATTCTTATCGACAAAGATGTCCCAGAAATATCGACCCGGTTGAGGAATACGTGCTGCGAATACTACATAATTACCGATATATCGAATAAAACACCGATTTAGCAAAGATTCTTCCGGAATTTTGTGATCTTTTGAGATTAACTTACAAGCAAAACTCATCAAGTGTGGGGTGTAAAGTTTTAATTCGACAAAACCATCTGATGATGTCCTCAAGACAGATTCCACGTTAGACGTGAATTTTAATTTATTGTTGAAAAATGGAGATTTGACGACTGGCATGCGAACAAAATCATCCAAAGTTATGGTCCTCCTCAGCAACTGCCACTTTGGATCGTCTGGAAAATGTTGTTGTATATGATCTTCAGGGTCCGTCAGGAAATAAAATTCATCGATTTTGTAAGTGAGTTGTTGGTCGTTTGCCTCCTTCACGTGACGTGCACCCCAGTTGCAGTTGATGAACCTCCACGAGTCCTTGATCCACACGGCAGTCCACTGGTTCCGAAATCGTTCACTTTTGAAGCGGGAACCAGGTCTGTAGCCCACTCCTTTCGAGAAGCCGCTGATGATTTCGCAGTGGATGCCCACGTAACTGTTGAATGTTACATAGAAAGAATTAAAAAGCTTGAGATGATTAGTTGATGATCACGATGATTATGACGACGGTGATGTTCTAATTATAATTATGTGATGTCAAGAAATATGTTGGGAAACTGTTTAAATTAAACTTTAATGTTTCAACATCTAGGAGCCTTTAAAATAAATTTTTTAAAATAAAAAATAATTTACTGATTAATCGTTTGGGCATAAACAACAGCTAATTAAATGTAGTTATAATAAAATTATTGCAAAATCTATGATCGAGTTTGTCACGTCGTGTGAGTTCATCATGTGATTGAAATACATTGACGACATGTGTATCGAAAGTTAGAGAGCTGAAATGATAACAACGATAAGGACAATAATGACGACGATATCAGTTAATTAACTAAGATGATGTCAAAATGGCTAAAAAGCAAATAAAAATTATGAACAATAGGGAACCTGCACAATCTTTTGAAGAGGTTGTGGTAAGTTTCTGTGCCAGATTTGATGCCCCTCAATAACCCCATGGGAGTGTTTGTGGTGAGGTCTTTCGAGAATTCTATCTTATTCAAATCCTTGGCAGTTATCCAACGAAATATTGCTCTGTGCATAAATTTAAAAAATTCAAAATGTTAATAAAAACAATTTAAAAAATGGTTACTGAGTTGTTGTTAATAAATTTAAACAACGATTGCATGGTTGATAGTTGCTCACCGAACTTTCTGCAAGTCTGACGTGCAGTTGTAACTCAATTTTCTGACGAGGTCAGTGAATGAGGTCGGGTCCTTCTTCGCCTCCTTTTTAATAGTTCATATTCATTTACATTTATTTACTTTTGTTTTTTTTAGTTTTTAAATGAACAATAATATTTAAATTATTATTATTATTTTAAGAGCTTTGCTAACGAACTAACAGTTACTTAATAAATTACACTTTCATCATCATATTTGCGTATAAAAAAGATGTTACAGAAATTAAGTTAAATTTTAACTTCGAACGCTTGTCTGTCAAATTCTTCAAAAATTTCAGGGTTCTTGTATAGTTTGGACTTGCGACAGACGGGTGGTTCAGCGTTTGGTGGCATGGACATTCGTGGGGAGTTCTCCTCATCTTCGTAATCACCCTCCAAGTAGTGCACCCGATTCTGCTTGGATTTCCTCCGCTCGCCAGTGCTTTTTATATCAATTGAAATATTTTTGTTACTTTTTGAAATTATTCATTTAAAAAATCGCATCTCTAGAAAAGTTAATTATTTAAAATCCGCAAAAACATCAACTCCAGTTGATATAAAACCATCATTAATAATCGTTACGTTACAGTAAAAGTGTAACCTGTCATTGCTGGAATTGTTTAACTTTTGATCGGATATGTTGTGACCACTGGAATGACGTGAAGAGTTGAAATCCTTCCAAATATTTTTATCTGCATGCTTGCTTTCGCCAGATGATTTCATATCACTAGCAACAACTGTTGTTTCTGATTTGATTCCTTCGGTTTTTTCATTTAATTTCTTTGGTGTGATTTTCAAATTACTTTTTTTCAAAACTTTTTTAATTCTTTCTTCGATAGTTTCTAGTTCTTCATCATCATCGTCATCGGTTTCATCGCTACGCTGTTCGTTTTTGTTTGCACTAGCTGCCTCGTCATCCTCATCCTCTTCAACTTCATCCTCTTCTTCTTCACTGTTTTTATTAGATTTATCTTTACCTACTTCAACTCGAAACTTTTCTTTCAGCAAATTTTCTTTGTTCTCCATGATTGTGCTTTGAGGTTTTTGTCCTAACTTTTCATTTTTCCGTTGTCCTTCCATCGACAAATTATTGTGCGGTTTTTTAATATCGCCCACCAGTACATCTGTTTCTTTACTTTGATAATCTCTGACATTTTTCTTTTTCCTGCTTTTTCTCAAATTCTCATCAGCTATTTCTTCTGTTTCAACGACAGAATTTGCATCCGTTTGCACTTCATTTTTTTTACGCTTTGGTTTAGAAATCTTCTTCCCGCTCGTATCGTCATCCTCACGAGTAACCTCGCTCCTTTCAATTCCAATTGATAATTTTGTTTCATTGTTTTGACCCCGTTCATTTTCAATTTGCACTTGTTTTTTGCTTTCAGTATCTTCCTCTGGTAGAAAAATTTCAGTTTTTTTATTTGTAAACTTTTTTTTGTGGCCAACGTGTTCAGTGAATTTATCGTTGTAATCGTCAAGATCGTATGTTTTAATATTGTGCTGCTCAACTTCTTCAATGTCATCATCATTATAACTCGCTTCATTGTTTTCATCATCATCATTTTCATCCTCCTCTTCTTCATCACAGTTTGATTTATCATCATCATTGTCATGATCTTCATCATCGTCTTTGTTTTTCTTACTAGAAACATATTTCATGTCTTTATAACTTGTTCTTTTCGCATATTGAGAGCCACGTTTTTCATCCAATTTTTCTCCAACCTCTATGTCCTGTGATTTAATTTCAAAATTAAGAAGTACATTTGCGCGTCAATCTCATTCTCATTTGTTTTTTATTTATTCAATTCATTTGCAGAGGTATTACAGGTTAACCTAAGCAAACTTCTTGTATAGCATTCTATCGTTGTCAGTTATATTTGCTTCTTTTTTAACAACGCTAAATTGATTCTGTTATGCCAAATTTATTAAAAAAAGTTTAAAATCAAATTTAGGGAGCCAAATGAAACCTTCTGTTCAATCATGAAGAGCATCTCTTGGGCATGTTTCTGAGTCAATCTCGCCACAGCCTCCTGTTCCTCCAAATGCATCTTATCCAACAAGTCCTTTATCTTAAGTTCTCTTTGATCTTTATAATATTGCTCAACCTTGAAAAACAGAAAATAATTCATTCGTTGTGAAACTATTTATTAGTTGTAAAACATTAATAATGATTAATAACTTTCTTCGATATACAACATTTAGATTATACCAGGACCACAAATACCCACGCATTGCATAAACAAACCTTTTGAATTCCTTTTTTTCTCTCATTTTCAGTAACCTTCTGATCTTCAAACCAGGCAACTAATTCCTTCACAGTCTTCTCTTTCTCACGCGCTAGAGTACTTTCTAAATGTTTGAGTTGCACCTTCCTTTCTTCATACATTTCATTGTACAGTTCGTCCTCTTCTTTTCTGTGCTTTTTTTCAAGCTCTTCTTGAGCTTCAAATATGCCAAATTTCTGATAGTCCTGTGTGCAAATACAACATTTGAATTAATTTTTATTATTAATTCTAACTTTTCATTATACAAGAATTGAAGTGTGGCAAGATTTGCAGTTCAAATAAAATATCTTTCAGTTACTATTCATTTCCAATATAAATTATTGACTTATTCAAAAATCAACGTTCAACCTTCAAATAAAAAATATTAATGCTATTGAATTATTTTAAATTGAACAACAATAACAACCTCGGTTGTTTTCAATGATTTCCTTCTCTTGATTTTTTGTGTTTTTTTAATATTTCTTGCATGCTCAAACTCCATTGCATCTGGATCATAATTGTTTGGTGATGGTTCGAATTGCCTCAATATCTAGAAAAATTATTCATCATTACAAATTAATTAAACAATGAAATAACGAGTGAGTTAGTTTATTAATAAAAAAGAAATTAAACAAAAATTACAAATAATAAAAAATTAAATTGAATGAGAAATAAAATTAAACATAAAATGAAAAAGGAACTTAAATTTGTATAACCTTATCACTTGCACCCTTCTGAGCTCTAATAGCAGCTTGTATTTCAAGGGCCTCTTTGTCATAAGCAGCTTCCAACTTTGGTACATGGGTCTTGCAGAAGACTTCTCGAATGTTCTTTGACGAGTTTGAAGTGACTCTACAAAAAGTTTTTAAAGTCAGCTGGAGACCACAGGTATGACATTTGAAACAGCCTCTGTGGTATAGCTCTCCAATGTCAATTCTTTCCATTGGGTAGACCTGCAATTACATCATTGTGCCTTTGTAAATTTTTCTGCCATATTTGCTTAAATTTTTAAAAAAAAAATGCATTTATTAATGTGAAATATAAGTGTAATTATGGATCACAAATGTTTAATATTTTTCAATTGAAATAATGAAAAATTTATCAATTTCTAATTAAATTGAATAAATATGATCAATCAAAAACGAATCTGAATGACCATTCCTTCATTCAATTCAATCACTTATTTATTCATTAACTATTTATTTAACTTACTCGTCTTCCACATAAATGGCACAAATTCTTAGCCACAACAGGTGTGTTTGTTGTAGGCTTAGGGATTCTTTTAGGCTTGTATCCCAAAGATTCCAAAACATCATCCCTCGACGTCCTCGCTGGTTCGAGACCATCCACAGCATCAGTTGAATCCAGAGACTCCATCGATGCAAATCTGTCTCGTGATGATAGCTTCGATGCAGGCTCACCCAAGTCTATGACAACTTTTTTGGCTTTGTTTTGTTGAAGCTGCTGTTGTTGGCATTGTAGTTTGTGTCCTTTATGTTGTTTGATAACTTTTTTCTGAGGTTCTGTCAGACTTTCCTCATATCTCTCTGTGTATGATGCCGTTGTTGTTGAATCTTCTCCAGACATTTTTCTATACAATGTACGTTACAATATGTGTCGTAATGTTGCGTCTATCTATGTGAATGAATTGTATAATAACAATATAAAGGAAACAACTCAGGCGATCCCAGCAATTTAATTAAAAGTAAACGATGACTCTAGTTTCTAGTATATATTGCTATTATAACGTAGCAGTTAGTAGTAAGCCACAAACTGCACAGTTGATTCACCAATGAATTAATTAATAAAAGATGATATAATGACGACATTTGGCACTGCTTAAGTTTTCCTTTATAGATTTGCAATAAAAAATAGTAAAATTAATCTTATATGTGTGACGTTATTACGTAGTAAATAAGCAAGGCAAACGTTTTGCTTATTCTGTCGTTTAATTAACCGCACACCTGTATTACTCATCTTACTATTTTTAACAGGTGTGGTGCTTATTGGCTGAAGCGAGGACCAATCGCTGTTCAGAATGGAGTTATTACTCTGGTTTAAATTTTCAAATTTTGTTGGCTAAAAAGCGTTTGTTTGTTTGTTAATTTCAAATTCATCGGTCGTGTTTTTCAATTTTTTCTATACATTCAATTCGTAAAATGTGAGTGAACATTATTAATCATAAACTAGCTGGCACTTGAAAATCCAACCAGATCATCATAGCATTTTACTTGTGTATAGAGAAATTAAAAATTGACTTGTTAGTCTCCTTCATACGAGCAACTTAGAAGATCAAACGAAAGTCCTTTCAAGTGTTGATTAATTAATACGGCAATTCAAACGTACCAGCCGCAGGACAAATCGTGTCTGTCAATTTATGCGATAGCTCACTTAACTTTATTAACTATGAGGAAAGTGAAGTAGCGTGAATTTTAATTTGCTGCGAACTTTCACGTGTAAGTGAAAGAAATATTAAGTTTAAGTCGCTGGTTGAATTCAACGGAATGTAGTTAAGCTAGGGAGGCTTTAGTTTAAAATCTGAATGCTACTAGAGTGCAAATGTGTGTGCGTCTGTGCGTGCGTGCGTGCGTGCGTGCGTGTGTGTGCACATTTATTTTAAGCTGTTCACTTGCACAATACAACATATTATTTCCTCCTAAATATGGTCAAACATAATGATAAGAAGGCAGGAGAATTGTGATAGAGTTCACTGATAGAGCTCATCGAGCACAACCACCAGCAACATAAATTTCAAAATGCTGCAAAATGTCATTCAAAAAGAAATAATCATTTGTTCTCAAGAAAAACAAAAATAAACTATGGAAAGGAAATGTTAAATTCACTTGCCCTAAATTTCCAACTTACACATATCCATATCACCCACACACACATCCATACACACTCAAGCACATACTCGCCCCATCATACACATAAACACATTCACTCTTACTCATTCACTCACACACATGCAACATACGTGTACACACACACACACACACACACACACACACACACACACACACACACACACACACACACATATATATGAATAGAGCACACAATTGACAAGATGGAGCGACAAATGTTAAACATAGCTGATATCGTCATTGGTTACTGAAGACGCCAGTCGATCGGTATCCTGGTTGGTTGGCTGGTAGGTTGACTGGCTGGTTGGCTGGCTGGCTGGTTGGTTAGATGGTTGACTAGTTTATCCTCATAAAAACAAGATGGCAGCAAAATTTAATGTTTGTGATTGCAGTTGTATGCAAAAGAACCCGAGTGTACGTTTCCATACGAAACAACATCCAGCAACAAACAGCAATAAGTTTGAGATATCTATCCACTAATAAAAGACACGACCATACTACTTTTCTGTACACAAATACACACGCATTTGCACACCACAGACACTCATTTGCCCATACTACCACACGCGCGCAAGCAGCAAAATATTTCTACTTTGTTGATATGATGACATCCATTTACGGACATACATGCGTCATAATGCAACAACAACTATAATGTGTGTGCTTGACGGATTATTAGCGGACATGTCGGAATGTTATGAGAAATTTTATGAGAAATTTTATGAAGCAGTAACGAGTAGAAAATAAAAAATAGGAGAACAAAAATTGAAGTTAATCGGTGGTCATGATGGAAACAGATGTGGTGGAGGAATGTGAACAAGCGTTAACTGTTATAATTCCATATTATTTTATTTCATCTTGCTTTCTCTGATCTTTTCCCAGTTAGGATATTTATTTTCAATTGTGTAGATTACAAAATACGGCGGACTTTTAGTCCTGGCAACTTCATACGATGTTTTCGGCAAAATTTAAATAACGAGTATAAATGTACGTGTACAAAAGTGTGACTTTGTATTGTAGAATCTTCATTTCAACTTCAACATTTTCGTCCATTTGTTACTATTACAAATCATAGTTTCAAATATCTATACAGTCCTGGTATAACATTCCCCTAATGTTAGTGCGATATAATTAGTAAAAAGCTTTTTATGAATTATAAATGACTTTTTTAAACAATAAGTTACCACATCAAAATCAATAGACGGTGCATGTATGTTTATGAATCCCCATGCACTATATAGACGCGTCTCTATGTCTTGGAAACTATATACATATGTATATATATATATATATATATATATATATATATATATATACAATATTTGTACAAACGTTCAACAACAATGATGGAAACATTTCCATATTGCTGATTTAAAATATTTGCCTGCATTACACTGATATCTATTTTAGTTCTACAATTTTTTTATTTGTGACAGTGTTTATATTTACATAGAACCCAAATGAACAATGGTGAAGAATTAGAATTATTAGGTATTTACCTAATAATTCTAATTCATGAATAATTCTCCGTGCTGGTTATCATGCTCGTGTGTTAGTAAGATCCAGCACGGCCTCACGCTCTTATGACAGATCGCACGACACCTCACAGATTTCAGCGATATGAAAAACGAACCAAGTGGCAGTCATCGTTACAACAGTAATGACAAAAATAAACAAAATAGCAACAATAAAAACAACAATAATGCTGAGAAGAGTTACTACGACTTTAGCAGAGCAGACAACAACAACAACGACGACGACGATGTCAATTCACCACCATCGACCTCAAACAACTTCAACTTAACCCACAAACCTCCATCGAAGCCTTCTTACAAATCCAGGGTTTGCCACTTTTACAGTGACAACAATGATAAAAGTGGCGCGTGTAAAATCGTTGTCAACACAAAATCATTCCCCAATATAGACTCATTAAAATCAGAGTTGACGAAAAAAATTGAAGGATTGCCGTTTGGAGTGAGGAAAATCTTCACTCCCAGGTGCAGAAATGAAGTGCAGTCGCTTGAAAATTTGAAGAGTGAGGGTCACTACGTGTGCACGTCATCAAACAAACCACCAACGTCATCGTCGTCAAATGTCCTCGTGAACAGGACGATGGAAAGGAGAGTGTGGTACCCGAACAAGCGAAGGTTGAGTGGAAGCAAGGAGTTGAAAAAACTCGTGTCCAATGACGAACTGCACAGGTTCAATGAAAAAAGGTCTGCAGTGTTTCGTTGCTGTTTAATTTTTTTATAATTTTTTTTTTGAAATTGTAGTCTACATAACACTTGTACAGCAGCGTTAAAATTTTAGTTTGGCCGTTTCGTTTCATTGTACTTGATAAGTAGCACAAATGCAACTTCAGTGTTGATCGAACGGTGGTCCTCCAAAAAATGCACCCATCAACATCGCATGCAAGTGAATGTGTAGGTATGCTTATTATTGGAGTACATTTAAAAATAAAATTAGCTACATAACAATTTGAGATCATTTTGGCACCAATATCGTCATCATTTGAGTCCAGCGGTGCATGTGCTATCGCGAAGTTTTTGCCATGTATATGAGCGTCGGGTATCGTCATTTTTTAACATTCATAACATTTATAAAATTAATAATGTTAATAACATTAATAACCTTAATAACATTATAACTTTTAGTATTACCTACAACAGATCAGGTGAGACATCGACAAGATCAAACCAGCAGTTGATGCAACAACCACTGCAACAACATGATGACCACGGTAGAGTGACCATCTGCTTGTTTGGCAGCGAGAACAATAAAAAGTGTCAGGTAGTGCTGGACAAAAGGAATTCAACTCTAAATGACCTCTTGAGGAATCTTTCCATAAAGTTCAAACTTCCTATTTATAAAATCATCGATTCCGACGGCACGAAGGTGTTCCCTTATTTATTTATTTTAAAGAACTTTTAATCAACAGACGCTATGAAATGTTGTTGTAACTACCTCGAGTTGACAACACCTCAAACAATTCAACAGATCCAAGTGATTTCGGAATTGTTTCAAAAAGACGGAAGATTCGTAGCTGTCCCGAACGACAAATTATCGCGATCTCTGTCCAACCTCTCGCAAGATTCCAGCCGACAGACCAGAAGGATCCCTTTCAACGAGCCACAAAACAATAAAATATCTCAATTCAAAAAAGCTTCCAATCCCATCGAAAAAGAAAAAGGTCTATTCAGTCAACGATAATTGTTTCAGTACATAATATATTTGTTTCATTTTTTTATTTCACTTTTTTTAAAACGAATTGTCCTAGTCCGATGGAAATTATTTTTGAATGAAATTTTAATTATTTCTCCATTCAGACTTGTACAGAATAACCGTGAAAACGAACGAGTTATCATTGGCAGATTACTTGAACAAACTGACCATTACAATCTACGGAGACCTGAAAACGTCGGTGAAGTTTGATTTGATGTCGTCTCTCGAGGAGAAGAAATTCAAAAAAAATTCACTCGACGTGTTTGAAGTTAGGAAAGATTCAACAAAATTCTTAATTGTGTGGCAGAGTAAAGAATTAATAAGAACAATTTGTGATGTTATATCTATTGAATTATATACAACATGTGGCTAAATTGATTTGAGCGCCTAAACATTAACTACAGCACATGACATCAACACAAACAACAAAAACAAATGACGTCAGCACATACAACGACAACACGTGACAGCCACTCAAACAAAAACATCAATTCAAACAACATTTAACATCAACACAAGCAACAAACAGCAACAACAAATGACACCAACACAAACAACGATAACAAATAACGTCAACACAAATGCCAACAGTTCAGAGACCGACCGATCGGTGAACCGTTCAAGATTCGTCTTGAAATCGACGAGAGTGTGGACGGGATGAAGTTGGGATGGTACTGCGATGAAGTGACCGTTCGGCTGAACAATTCGGAGCAGCTGCTGTACCACTTCCCTTGCAGACGCTGGCTCAGCAGACAAGATGATGACTGGCAGCTCTACAGGGAAGTTCCCGCTCTTCATAAAATGACCGGTGTATTGCCGGGTAGGTATTGATGATGATGATGATGATGACAATGATAATGGTGATGATGAAGGTAGTGATTATAATAATATTTTAATAGTGATAACGATGATCTAGAATAATTAGTTGTCTCCAAACTCGCATCATTTTCTTAAAATGTTTACCGCACGGTTTCGGAAAGAATGGATTTATAAAAAACGTTTATGAAGAGACTTTTCCTGCTTTGATACACGGATTTTTATGAACAAAGTGTTGTTCTGTTTCTATTTTTACGGCTCAAATTATTATATTTTAAAACTAACAAACTTTGTTTGAAACTGCAGTTTTTAAAAAATTTTACGTTTGCTTAGAAAAAAATGATGAAATTCTGATGCTATTTCGAAAATTTAATGTAAAATTTTTTATATTCATTTTGGATTATAAATAGATGATAGGAATAATTATAAATTATAAAATACGTAAAGTTGAAACGAAAATGATACAAAATCACATTTCATGATGATGCTATCAGATATTTTTTAAAGCTTCTGAGTGATGTTATTATCGTCATGAAGATCTTTATCGCCAATTATTCAGTCGTCATCTACCGTCTGTCCGTGTCGACTGGGGACGTATGGAGGGGAGGAACGAACAGGGATGTGCTGGTGAAGATGATTGGTGAGTGTGGTGACACTGGATGGAGAGTTTTACGTCATCCGTATCTCGACAAACCATTCGTCATGGCCATGGTGCGTGAGGAAGCAAAATAAATTTTCAGTTTAATGGATGGTTTAGTTAACCAACACAATAAAAATGTAGAAGTGGAATTTTATTTCGACAATTGTACTATCAATCAATTTTTCTAAATTAATTTGTTAATTTTATTTTTACGTCGCATTAATTATAACTTTAAATTATTGAGCCAGACAACGGTGTTCAACGTTGAGGCAGTTATGTTGGGCAACATCCGCAACATGTTGATTAAACTTGGTAACATCAGCCACAACAAAAACAACAACATAGATGAGAAAATAAATAATGCTAACAACAAAAACGTGTATAACAACAACAGCAACAACAAGAAGACGACAACTAACAAGCAAAAGATAGCAACATCAAATGATGAATCTTGGTTTCTCGATGAAATCGTCATTTCCTGCTCCATCCCACACGTCGTGAAGTGGATCTTTCGATGTTACGAGTAGTTTATTGTTGTTATTATTTTTACTTATTCTTCTGCATGCCTTTATTATTAGTGTTTATTGGATCGAACAACTGAATGAATGAGTGAATTTCTTTTCCATTATCCAATTGGTGAGTTAACTTTTTGAAAAAATAAATGGTTAAACTGATTGGTGCAATTTATTTGATGTTGTAATTGTTAATACTTTTACCATTTACATGCACATATGTATATGTACTCAACTCGCACTCAAATGTTTATATCTATGTACAACACACACAAACACACACACACACATACACATATACACATTCATAACCACACATACACATACACATGACATACGTGTTTATTCATCAGATTAAAAGTATAAATAACATTAGTTAGCAACATTTTTTTAAAAGTTGGCTGAAGACGAATGCTATCAAAGAATTGAAGCCAGGTGGTGGTAGGCTGGATGAACATGTACAACAAAAAATGGTACTATTGTTATTATTATTATTATTATTATTAAATAAAAAGTAAAATCAAATCATGCACTCAAACACATGCACACACGCTCACACACACACACACACTTTTTTTTATAGTATATTAGCTTATAGTTATATGAGTTCAAAATTTGCCTGTTCGTATTGCTATATTCCATATTACTATCAATATATTCACTCATTATTTACTTTCATAATAAAATTATTAATTAACTAATTAATTGTTAGTTAGTTAATTAATTAATTAATTTATTAATTTATTTCTTTATTCACTAATTATGAAAATAACAACGATATTATACACCAAAAAACAGTTTGAAAGTGAATCTTGGAAATTGCAAAATGAAATGTACGTCTGTTTGTACGCTTGTAGTACGCGCAGGTATGTACACGTCGGTGATGACGGCAGCCTTGGCTCTAGTGACGCGGGTTTCTGTTTGTTATTTGTTACATCGATGCTTACGACTAAGTAGTTTGAAAATTATTCTTCTCGCTGAAAAATTGAAAGTTACAAAAAATGCACGTTTCTGAAATAAAATTGCGAAATTGTGAAAAGTTAATCTAAAAACAAAACGTTTCATTGCCCAGAAATCGTTTTCAAGGTCATAAATAAGGAAGGTGAAGGTCACGCGGTTCGGTCATTCAGGTCAACCTTTAATAATATGATGCTCACAATCGACCAATCAAAATCGAGTAGAGCCGGTGATTATGACGATAACAATGACAAAGAAGTGGGTGTATTTTCATGTATGTGCAACGTCATCGTGATCGTTATCATACAGTCACATTCGTTAATAAAAACAGCTGAATCGTTATCATCATCATCATAATCATCATCACATGGACACCGCAGACGATCATCATAGACAACATGGACGGCAAGCAGAGTGCGGAGGACTTTTTAGTGCGACCACAATTTGATCGTTCCATAGTTTTGGAATCTGCGTTCAACCCTGGTCATTATCTGGCTCTTGAAGGTCACGGACGATGTTTCCAATCCACTGTTGTTGATGAGTGTTCCAAGTTCTGGATCGAGTTGAAAGTTGGTGTACAAAGTATTTCTTTTGCTTTTACTGTTGATGATTAGTTAAATGTTTTGCCGCTACATAAATACACAATACACGTTCTAAAATGTCATGTTTAAAGCGACCATCTTCTGTAAGATTCCGTTCCATAAACAATTCGTACACAATTCGTACACAAGCAACACATGTTAAATATTGTTTTTTTTTGTTGCAAATTGTTTCACACACACACACACACACACACCACCCACACACACACTTTCTCACTCTCTCACACACACACAACGCACGTGGCAGGGAACGTTTAAAGACGGCAACCACATCATATTCCATTCGTCCATCGTTCAATGCCTTGCTGTTCAGACTTCTATGAAAGTCACCGCGCTCAAAAATAACCAATTCAAACAACATCCACAACAACTGCATCGTCAACAACAGCTACGACAACAGCAGCAGCAGTCACCTTTCCAGCTACAACATTTCCACAACACCACTTTCATCAAAGACAACAAGCTGCAGCGTAAGTGTGGGGAAACATTTTTACAGATAATTTTATTGAAATAAAAAACAACAAACATACAAACATACAAACAACAAAAGAACCTTTGAGATATCTTTGAAGAGGGCTTACAAACACACTCATGATGCTAAGCACAACAAAGCCACAACTCAACAACTACAAAAACACTTAGCAACACAACATCATAAAAACATTGGCGCACTAACAACTCTTGCAACAACGCAACCATTGCAGCATTACACAAATAACAACTCAGCCACGACATCAAACGACGACAACAACAACGAGAATGTATCGGTCTGGATAGCTCACAAAGTTGAGAAGCACATCTACCAGCTGGAGAGCAAGAGGCATTCTGGAATGTTCCTGTCGGCGTCTGCGGCCAGATCTGTCGATGCTCTCGTAAGTTTCACTGGAGGAAGTGCAATTCATAGTCTGCTGTGTTAACAAATGTACAGCATGATGCATTTGTGTGCCTGCATGTCGTGTATTGCGTTTTTTGACGTTATTGAATGTTTCAAGTGTTGCTAATAAATATATTTTAAGTTTTGTTACATGAAAATAATAAAAATATTTTCAACTCTAAGATTATAGAATTTGATTACATTAAAAATTAGAAATCTTTAGAGAAATCCCATCTTGTTACTTGTTTTTTCGACAATGAAACATTTGGACGTGAGCTTATGATTGAACGGATGAAGACATGATTGAAAAATTAAATAAATGATTTAATTATTTTTAATTTATTTATAATTATTTATAATTATTTTAAATTTGTTGACGAAGGGCGGCAAGGACGACGTGGGAAGTTGTTTCAAACTTCACCCACGTTACAGCACATGTGGTTGCATCATGTTGGAATCCATGTTACATCCTGGTCACTTTGTGGCGGTCACTAGTTCCGGAAATTTGGGATTGATGAGGCTGAAGGTTGATGCTGCAGAATGTGACAGAACCTGCAGATTCTATCCTCAAGTCGTTCGTTTCAATAGTGGGTTGATGCTTGCAGTCTGTCTTGTTTTTAACGCTTTTTGTTGGTTTCTTTTTTCTACTTGCTGTTTTTTTTATCAAAAATTACGTTTTGTTCTTCATTATTACAAAGCTTTCTTTCTTGTACGCTAACAGATAATCGAAAAAATAGAAACGCAAAATCTCAGAAGCGTTATAAACAGCCTCATGAACGACAAGACCAACAACAACTAAACACTGCTTTTGTTACACCGCCTGCATCGCCCCACTACATTAGCAACAAATACAACAACAACAACAATGACAACAAACAGTTAATGGGCCAGCCAGCAGTCACAAACGCACTGTACTATTTAACGCCACAGGGAATGTTCGTCCCTCTCAACATCCAGTTCTTCAATGATAAGATCGATGATGATGACAACAATGATGACAATATTCGCGACAATGATGTTGGTCGTTATAATGGTGATGATAACGACAACAATGATCACCGAGCTGGTAGTGATGACGACGATGAAGATGATGATTTGTTCGTGCCAACAGCCAGAAACAAAAGTATTTTAATCTTTAGACTGTTGTTTGAGTTAACAAGACCTCTTCAATTAAAATGTTCATTTATAAAAAAAAGTCATTCAATCCATTAATTAATTAATTAATTCACACGTTGTTTTATTTATGTTTTACTTAAACATCTGTTTTTATTCATTCATTCATTCGTTTGGTCATCATTCATTAATACGTATTTTCTTTTTTTCTTAATTCATCCTTTCGTTCCTTTGCTCATTTATTCACTCGCTCATTCGTTCATATATTAAATATCCCTGCAGAAGAGGACTGGATTGTATCGCTGACGACATCATGCAGCCTGCAGGACGCTGACGTCATGTTGCACCTTTACGGCGATGATGGTTACTACGGTCCTATCATTCTGGGGGGCAACAATCCGGGCAGTGCCAGAGGGGATCCTGGTGGAAGAAATTTGGCGAGTGTTCGAAGAATGGATGGCACCAGAGATTTGTTCAGTAGCGGAAATGTTGATGAGTTCAAGGTGAGAGTAGAGTCGATGATGATAGTTTTTCAAGATATCAAATACTCTGATAACAACAGGCTCTCATTTGTATTATGTATCACACTCACGCAAAAATGCAATCATAACTTTCGAAATGATATCAACAAACGTTCCAGCATTGTTTTCAAAATTTATATTCCGCTATTGTACGTCATAGTTTTTTTTTTGATAGACTTCAGAATATACTAAATTCTAAATTTATTTTTGCAAACTGCTGTTCATCTGCTGTTCATCCCTCCGTCTGTTCGTTCATTCGTCCTTTCATCCATTTGTTCGTTCATTTATTTACTTTTTTATCCATGCATTCATGCACCCATTCACCCATCCATGCATCTATCCATGATAACTTGACACCAATCAGATTCAGGTCCCAAGAAGCACAGGTGAGTTGTTCAAAGTCAGGTTGGAGCTGATCACACAGGGGGTGGGTCTTCAGGCCAGGTGGAAAGTTAACATGGTACTTATGGGGACAATGCTGGTTGATGAGGATGATGGTGATGACGACGACGATGATGATAGCTACAAAAATTGTGATAGCGTATTTCAATAATAAACGTGTAATGGTGATAAATGTTAAGTAAAAAAAAAATTTGAATTTTTTTGCTAAATGAAAATTAAAATTTTCAGCTGCAGCTGAGGAACATGTCGACATTGAAGACGTTGAAGTTCCGCTTCGATCGTTGGCTGTCGCGACGGGAAGATGATTGCGACATCGTCAGGGAGATGCCTGTTGTCAGGCTGCTAGGCAACACACTGCCAGGTGGTGGTGGTGATGATGATGATGATGATGATGATGTGGTGGTGGTGGTGATGTGGTGGTGGATAGATGGTTCTGTATATTACAATTAGTGATGATGGTGGTAGTAAATTGTCTTGTTTAATGCTATTTGATGATGACAATTATTACGATGATATTGGTGACAAAGATGACGATGAGATGATGATGATGTTAACAACTCTGACATTAATATATAACATTTCTTATAGTACCAAACCAACACGACAAATGTTTAATAAGATGCTTGTTGATATCACATCGTTCCAACCTAGTGACCAGTTATTTGGTTGAGACGTATACAGGCGGTTGCAAGCACAGCGAATATATAAACGACATCAACAGCAACAACAACAACAGCATAGATAACTACATTAAAAATTACATCAACAACAACACAAACATCAGCAACTCAAAATCCCACAAAAAGCTGATAAATGTTTACATCAACATGTTTGGAGAGCACGGAGATTCAGGGAGGAGGTTGTTGTTCAAATCAAATAACTGGGTCAAGTTTGTTATGGGCCAGGTTGGTTCAAAATAACGGTTGTTATAATTTTTATTAAATTTCAACTCGCATTACCAAATAATAATCGGTGTTGTTGTTCCACTAATGAAAGTGCATCGTTTTTGCGCTGCTGAATGAATAGAGAAGTTGCAAGGCAGTTTACTTGGAGCATCTTAACTAAAACTAAAAAGCGTTTTCTATCTTGTAAAAAAGTGAAATACAATCAACAAAAGTTTTTGCTATAGTTCTCAGTCAGTTTTTTAACAAACCAATTCAGTCAACAATTGTGTTTAGAAAAAAGTTAGGAACATAACGACAAACAAGCAATCACCGCGTTCAATTTTTTAAACAGGTTTTTTCATGTCATTTATTAAGCGACTCTAATTGTTGAAGTATGAAGATTTAAGCAAACCACTGTAGATTAAATCAGTTGTGATTCATTATTCATTGTATAATTGTATATAGAAATAATAGAATTAAATTTATACTGCGACTGATCGAAATAAATTTTTTCTTATTCATTTTTTTTTTGTTGTTCTGTTATTTTAATGATCGTCATCAATTTTTTTTTAAAGAGAGACGAGTTTCGAATTGAATCGGTCCATCTGGGAACTTTAATGAGGTGTGTGGTGACCTGTGAATTCAACGAAGAGGAACATTCTGACAATGGGAACGATGATGGTGATGAAGATGATGATAAGTATCGATGGTGTTGTAATAAGATTGTTGTTACGTACAAGTGCAACAAAGATGATGACGACGACGACGATGATGATGTTCGCAAGAAGGCTGATGATGAAAACGAGGAAATAGTGATGTTCCCTTGCAACAAGTTTTTGTTGAATTTTTAATTTCTTTTCGATTGAACTTTTAATTTATAATGCGTTTACTGGATTAATGACAAAAAATGTTAATTTGCATTATGTAAACCGAATTTCAACTTATTCAAAGAATTTATTTAAATATAATAAGTTGAAATAATTTTATTGTTGTGACACAATAATTTTCTCATTGATCTGGAAATAAATTTCAAAACCAGATGCTTCCACGTCAAAAACAAGCGTAGAATGAAGATTGAAAAAGTTCTCAAACCCTTCAAATCCAGTAACAGACGATGATTTTCATTATATTTTTTAAATTTTTCAAAACAAACCATTTATGTTATAATTTTGATCTCCAAATCTTCACAAAATATTCATTATTTCCTACATTTGTGTGTATCATTAAATGACTAACCAACAGATGGGGCAAGTCCTTACATTAGGAATCCATCCAACAAGCCAAAACAACCAGTTTTTAAGTTAGGTTGGTTGAATCACCATGATATTTCTTTTGTTACTGGCTGTTCATTTCAATTTTTTATCTCTCATTGACGATTGTTTAACATTTAAATTCTGATACAAAGATCTAATTAGTTTTGTGTATTGTTATTTAAAACAATATTTTCATTTGACAGCTCACAAGACGAATCGCGCGTCTAGAATTCCAGTGCATAAAGAGAGAAAACGTTTAAAAGTTGCAAACAATCCGCCAATCCTTCTTCACGACCTGGAGAGAACAATGTCTGATCAACTAAAACAACAACAACTTCAACAACTACATCAATCTTTGCACCAACAACAGCCACAACTGCAAAAACAACTACCAGAAGAATTTATGTTGCAAAAGAACTTGTCCGGGTTACACATTTTTTTGTAATTTTTAACCTCAGAAAAAATATAAAAATTTAAAGAAATAGTATGATGAAATTCATATTTTTTAAGAAAAGTTGTTAATTTTTATCAAGTCTTGATCCTTACAAATGTTGGCGGTCGTTTCAAAAAGCTGACGTAAGTAATGAAAAATGGCAATTTAATATGGCCAAGGGGGAGTTTTGCTTCAAGTGGAATTGTTTGTATTGATATTTCAGAGTTTCATCAAGTATGGTGTGTAAGGGATGTGAAAGAATGGACTGAGCTTTGGAAGAAATGTAATGGAAGAGCCTCAATTGATTCGAATTATAGAGTAAAGTTGAATAATTTGTGGCCATTTCGAGTAGAATTTAGAAATATTTGATAAAAAAAAGTAGAAATGCAAAAATATAAAATTTGAGTAAAAACGTTTTAGTAAGGATACGATAACAATTGTATTATTTATGATAATGTTTATTACTATTTCAGAGTTTCAGAAAGAAGCAATGATGAAAAAATATCATCTGATGAAGATATTAATAAACTACATGAAGACAATAACGATAACGATAATAAAGTCGATGGTAGCAGTGATAAAAACGAGGATGTTGAAAATGATGATTCTGATACTGTTGACGAGCAAGAAAATGACGAAAGACTCGATGAAAATGATAAAAATGATGATGACGTCAAACCTTTGATTGAAGCACCAGCCACTAAGGAGTCCAAGCAGCATTTGTTAGGTTCAGACGTTGAATTTGGAATAAAATATTTTTTCATGCAATAAATTCATCTATTTTCATACTAACAACATGATTTATCAATTTGCACAAGTATGAAAGTTTTTAATGTGACTATAAAAGTATTATACATGTGTATATTTGCTTAATTTTCAAACTAAAAATAAAAATTAAAAATATTTTCCTTACTTTTTCCAGGTGAATGGAATTTATATCTACTGTTCAGAAATAAAAATCTTGTCTTTAATAATAATAATAATAATAATAACAATAATAATAAAAGTGCCGACGACGACGATGATGTCACTGTGAAAAAAATGATTCAAACATGTTATAAAACAGCGGTAATATACAACAATGATGGAGAGAAAGTTCATCTGTCGTTGAATGAATGCAAGGTCAGGTCGCCTACGTCTGGTTGGGGGCTTGGACCTGTCGCCAAGTTCAAGGTTGGTCTGTTTGGATTTAGGGTTACGCCGGAGAATATTCGGCCATTGTTCACTATCCGGCCGTGTGTTTGTAAATATTTCAGTTTTATAACTTCAGAGGTTAAACAATAATAATTTTAACAGTTTTTGGTGTATACATGTTGCAGAGTAAAACGCGCAATTTATACGTCAATAATCGGCTCCGACCGGATATCAAAAAGTACTTTCCGGTGCAACCTTAGTTATTATTATTATTATTATTATTATTATTATTGCCATTTCTATTATTGCCACTATTAATTTTTTTCATTAATGATTTTTGTCTACAAATTTGAGGGAATACTTGTTATAACTTTAAAATAAATATTTTTATAATAATAGCATAATTATGTAGTATCTTATTAATTATTAATTAACAATAATATTATTACCAATTACGTCCTACTAATATTATTACGTCATAATAATATTATTATTAATTTCGTCATAATGCTTGATGATTAAGGTGACCTTCAAGGAGTTCTTCCGGAACTTTCACAAACTGAGGATAGGTGTGCAGTTTGTTTCACGAAATCTTAATTGTTACAAAACTATCAAACTTAAAAAGGTCGGTTTTTTAATGTTGAATTTTTTTAAGTTGGACGATAAAATAATGCAAAGAATAATAAATTTGGTTTCATCGCAGGTTATTTTGAAGCACAAATTTAACGAGACCACATTCGAGTTCTCAAAAAATGATATCTATGATGTATCCAATGAGAGAAAAATAAATAACAATAATAAAAACAAAACAAAAAGTAATAATGATGACATTGATGACAATAATGATGATGACAACGACAATGATGACGGCAAAGATGGATGGATGGAGTTGCCTGTAAAAACATCAACTTCTGGTATCAACCTCACTGAAATTAACATTAGTGATAATGATAACAACAACAATAACAACAACAACAATAACAACAACAATAACAACGATGGTTACAGTAAAGTTTTTAAAGACATTAACATAAAGGACGAATGTGTTCTTATAGAAGAGACAATGTTAATGAGAGACCCAAGTAATTTATCGTTAAAATTGTAAACATTTTTAAAAATGGGTATTTATTTACTTTGAGTTATTTTATTTTTTGACATTGAGAAAGTACTATTTAAGTATTTTAATTGATTTAAATTTAGATTTTATAGTGAATTTAAGGTTATTAATTTCAAAAAATACAACGCTGGCAATCATGTCAACGTAGCTAATTTAATTAATCTAATTAATGTTATAAATTTAATGATGTATTTAATGTAATGAATGTTTTCTTTGCTAATCTGAGTGTATTTAATAAAAAACAGTAATAATTTGTATCACAAAATATTTTTGCAACAGTTATCACCTACCACATCAAAGTCTTCATCACCAAATCGAAACTGAAACATAAAAAGTTGGGAAAACCCATAATGATGGATGCAAATTTGTACGGAAGTAAAAGTGATTCTGGGATGAGGACGAAGAAGATGACGACAATGATGAAGAGGGTTAATCGCTATGATGATAATGACATCAAGGATGATGGTGATAAAAATAAAGACGCCGACAAAGAAATCGTTCGTTGATTTTTTTTAAATTTGAAACTATTGTCATTTTGTTAGACTTTTCTATATCATAAGTCTTTGAAGTTGAAAATTTAAAAATCTTTAAATACTTTTAAAAATATTAATAATTTAATTCCAGATGGAAACGTTGGATATAAAAGCAGTCCACCTTTCTGCCTTGCAATCCCTACTCATCGGTTTCCACTTTAAAAATAATGACAACGGTGATGAAGACGATGATGAGGATGATGATTTAAAAATTTTCGTTAACCATGTTATCGTCACTTACTCATATTCCTCATCGTCCTTCTCGTCATCATCATCATCAACAACGTCATCAGCAACATCATCATCAACAACATCAACGTCTGCCAAAAAGAGTTACAGCGTTTATTTCAAGTGCAATGAGTGAGCGCTGTTACTTCGTTTCAAAATTTGTTTTTACCAAATTGAATATTCACTTTTACAAAAGTTTATAGATATTATCTCTTATTTAACAGTTTTTTACTAGTTTTTTTTAAATTTATGGTTATTTTCTGTAACAGTATTAATATTATATGTTTTTAAAGCAAAATTAAAAAATTATTTTCGTGAAAAATATTAGGTCAAAAATTTTACACTCAACATTTTTCTGACTACATTTTTCAGTTTCATCAGCGTAGTCCCCTCTTCATCTTCCTCACCATCTTCCTCATCATCTTCCTCGTCTCCACCCTCTCCTGGAAAGTCTCAATGCAAGATGTTGTACCCGGGGGAAAGGGATGACGTCACAGAACCTTCCAAAGGTGAGGATGGTGTCATCGCTGGATGTGATGAGTATTCCTACCGTTTTTTATTAATTTATTTCAAATTTTTTTAGATTAATTTAGATTCTGTAAATTTATTTTAATAATTATCATTATTTATTGATACTATTTCTTTCGTTTAATTAATTATATATTTTCAATAGTTTTAATTCGGTAAGAAGTAGTAAATAACGAATTGTTCTAACTAGCTGCAAACCCGAAAGAAACATGGAAAGTAACTATCCGGGCGGGGAAATTTGCTGACGATGACGACGACGACGATGACGATGATTCTAACGATAACGATGCAACAAATACGAACAACAACAGTAACAACAAAAACAACAACAATAATAACAATAACAACAACAACGCCATTTTCGTTGATGAATTTTTCAGGAAACCAGCCTCATTCCGACAGCATCCTAGCTACAAAGTACATCCTGAGCCATTAAAAGGTTGGATGGCGCGGTTCATGACGACCGCGATGATGTAGATGATAATGACGTTAATTCAAATTTCAATAATCACAGTGATTAATCACAGGGATTAAGAGGTTTTGATGGCGTTAATGATTAAAATGGGGACATATTTGTTAATGCTATTTCAAATGCATAATTTTCATTGGATAATCATCATCATTATTATTATTATCATTGTCATCATTAAATAATCAACAAGCAATCATCATCACGTAATCATCATTGTTGTCTTAACCAATCACGGTGGTTTTCCCGATTTCACCATCACAGCCATCACCATCATCATCATTTTTGTCGTCATCATCACCCTTAACGTCACTACCAATAGTGATGATCATTATCACCACTAGGCAGTTTGGCGTTAGTGGTGTACGGTGATGATGGAGTGAGTGAAGTGATGAGGATGAAGATGTTGACGGGGAGGAGTCATCTTTTCATGCAAGGCCAAGAGTTGCTGTTTGAAGTCTGTAGTAATGACGATGATAATAATAAGTTAACATCTTTCAGTTAATTTTCAGAGGTTTCAACATCACACATGGCACGTGGAAATTTTATTATTTACAATAATGATGACAAAGCTGATGTTAATGATAAAATGATTGTATTGATAAGGAAAATATAACTGCGACTATTATACATTGACGACTAAATAATTAAGATAGTGTTATTGAAATAAAATATGATAGTGATGAAGACGATGATAACAAAAATGTATGTGGTGATGGTACTACTGACTCATTATTATGATGGAATGATTAACAATTGAATCAACAAGGTTACAACGGAAAACACGAAATTAGGCAACCCGTACAAAATTAGAATAGGAATCGATGAAGATGATGATGATGAAGATGAGAGGACGTGTGAAAACTGGCTGATTGGAACTGTCAGTAATGAACATGAGGATGAGATTTGTGATAAGATGATGATGAAACTTGTGATATCATTAATAATGTTGTTGATCATGTTAAGTAACTCTGCTGACTACAATGATGATTATCATAACAGATTTTTTATTCAATGATGATGGTTGTAATATTGTTTGAATCTTAGTTATAAAACTATCATCACCAAGGTGACAATATACCAGCCAGCAAGCCAATCATCGTTCATGTTTGAGGTGAACGACCGAATGATACGCAATGATTGGTTCGATGGATGGGTGGAGTCATCCTTATCAGAATGTTTGACCAACCAGCAATCGTCTGATAATGACATCATCACTCGACTTCCAGGTGATTGTTGCTTGTTGTTTATGATGACGATAATGATGAATAACGGTGATGATTACAATGACGATGACGACGATGATGGTTCCTCTCGCAGTACTACTGTACACCGTTAAAGTACACACATCTCAGTTTATTGTACCGATGCACGTAACCTCAAGATGTTTTGCATACATTATGTTAATTGGTGGGCGGGGCGATACAGGCTGGAGGCGATTGATTGACTTTAAGAACCAGAGTCACCTCTTTGAAGCTGGAAAAGTTAGGATGTTGTTTGGTCAGCTGTTATGATAGCAAATGAAATAAAAAAAATTTTTATTGAACAATGTTTTTTGATATTATCATCCTAATAACATAGACTGTAAATAATATTTTTTTTATTTTCGTTATACGTAATTTTAATAATTAAGTTATTCATCTTTTTATTGTTCTGCAACAAATTTTATAGGTCCAAACCTTTGAAGTGGAGGCGGTAGACCTAAAAAATATAACCGATGTTGTTATTGGTCACGATTTTGACCAACCAGAATGCAGGTGGTTTGTGAAATCTCTCTCTATTGGCTGGGAGGATCCAAATGGAGATAATGAAATTGTGCTGCATTGTAATAAGTATGAAGCGACGACGATGATGATGTGGCTGTGATGATGATGATGATGTGATTGTAATTTAGAAGATGATGGCAACGATGATGTTATGTTAACATATACATTAATAATACTTTATATTAGGACATAATTTTTCAAAAAAATATAACTTTGTGTATAGCCTCATAGATGGCGAAGGTAAAACTAAAAAGTACGAGAGATCGTTCAGCGTTGAAAACTTCAAGGCAGGTTCGTGTTTGTTGATTTATTGCTCCTGGACACTCATCTCCATGTCTCTCTCACAAACGCTATACAGTTCATCATTATGCACCATTTCTCACCTCACCAACTTTCACTCAATTTATTGGCAACAAGAAAGTTGCATATCCGTAGCAATGCAGAAGACAGCCAATATGCTGTTAAATTATTATTATCATCATTACAATTATCATCGTCACTATCATCATTATTATCATCATCGTCACCACAATCATACTCATCGTCATAACTTTAGACGAATGGTCCTTCTACGTATACAACAAGATGAACAGGCACGCAACAAAACAACTGCCTAGCAACATCACGACAACAACGTCAACGAGCAGACCTGAGCAAATGCTCATCAACGATTTGTTGCTGGTTCTTTACGGCAGCAACGGATGGACTGAAGAAATGGAAGTAACAGCTGTCGATATGCAGCTGAAGAAGGATGAACGAGATAGTGACGTCATGTTTTACATCAAAAAATTCAAAGTAACATCTTCTTTATTTACATTTTTGTTTAAGTTTTTATTCTGTTTTTTATGTGAATTCAATATTGGATTTATCAAAATCAATTATCCAAATAAGTGAGCGCGATTGTTTCATATTTCTTTTGATTTCCAACCCCAGTTTAAGGAGTGGTTCTTCGCAAGCGTGGGTGACTTTTATAAGTTGAGGTTGGGATTTCCAGAGAAGTTGAATGACAAGGTTCATTGCTACATCGAAGATGTGAGTTTCGTTTTATTAACATCGTTATCATCATCATGCTTTGTGTTATGAACTTTGTAATTAATTCTAATCAACATCTTAAAATTACATGAGCATAGCCATGATTTTTAGCATTCTCATTTTTGACATCGTCATCGTTAACATTATCAGTACCGTCATCATCACCGTGGCATCATCATTCTCATCATCGTGACATCATCATCATTGTGACACTTAAAGATAATAATAAGGAACGACACGAAACACCTGAGTTACGCATTCCACATGGATGCATTCATGCAGAGGAACGAACAGAGCGATGGTTGGAAGGAGGTGCCCTGCCTCACACACGCTGCATACTTGCACAACATCTGCGAAACTCACCTCATAGAACTGTCTTCAAGGAAACCGTTACCCGGTTAATTGAAATCCTCAATTAATAATTTTTTTGCTTAAATACCTCACCATTTTTTCGGAGCTCCTTTCTGTTAAGTTGAATAAGGTTTGCGAGTGTTCTATGAAATAAACTTTATGAACTTCTCACTCGATAAGACAGTTTGTATTGTATTGTATTGTGAACGTACATACGTCTCCGTACGTGTACATGTAAATAAACAATTCATAAACATGTTAAATAAATAAACAAACTTGAAATACACTCGCAACGTGTGCACATAAACACATACACATAGTGCTCTCATACGGTGTACAAGTTCAAACCGGTCCATCACCGAATTCCGGCACAGATGACGTCATCTTCTTGGAAATATTTGGCACAAGAGGCAGCACAGGAAGAAGAAAGCTTCTCGAAAATTATGGCGAATTTCCGGATAAAAACTTTAGGGACGGCCAGGTGATAATGATAATCAAAGAAAAAAAATCAACCATCATCATTCTGCACAGCTAATCACATTGCAATGACGTCACTTTTTGATGTCACAATAAATGTCAATAACTATATATTAACCTAACATCCTTGCTAAAATCAAACGACACACTGCCTATCAAACATGTTTTCCATTTTACAATTTAGTCATTTTTTCCGACCATTCCTGCCGACTAAGGGCAAACTTGCGCTGATTCTGCACAGCTAATCACACTGCAATGACGTCACTTTTTGATGATTTGACGTCATGTTGTTAACATTCAGTTGGATGTTTTTGTGATCGAAGCGGTGGACATTGAGAGGGTGGAGAAGATTCACGTGGGCAGAATGAATGTAACCCCGCCTTCATCATCGTCGCCAACATCATCAGCAGTATCGCCACGGAGTAACAGTGGATGGTTTGTGGATAGCATATCCATTGTCGTCCTAGCAAACCACATCATCAATGTCTTCAAGTTCCACTGCTCATGGTTGGCTGGCTGCTTTCTAGTTACGTCTGTTCATGTCGTTTTATATTTTCATTGCTCCATTCCTTTTTTCTTTCCATTATATAAACTTTCCTAGAAGCAATGGCGCCACAAAAGTAGAAGCAAAATGGTTTTATATATTATCTATAATAATGTTTGAAGAAATAACATAAATTTGTGATCGATGAAGCAACATACATTCTGATACGTTTGCAGTTTCATAACACCAGACGAACCAGTGAAAGAGTTCTTCTTGACAGATTTTGAACAGATGAACGAGAACGACGTAAAATGAAGTAACAAACTGGAACTGGAATAAAGTAAAACTTACAAAGAATGAATGACACCCAAGTTAGGAGATATACAAAAAATGAATGATTAATAAATTAAATTTTTACGAGAAAGAATATCATATAAAAAACTGGCTAAACTTTATTTTTATTGCCCTAACAAATGCTGGATGAGTTATTTGCAAGGATAATAATCTCTCAGTTGAATATTCATTTTGATGTTATTTATAAATTTAATGTTAATTTATAAGTTATGGGGAGGTTGATACATCTATGTTACTTGAACCTTCATTATTGTCAGTTTATGTGATACTTTTGCATTCTTGTTAATATTATTTTCGAAATTTTTAGAAAATAGAATTGTATTAATTTTATGATGAATATATATTTGAACGAGATTTACAGACATTATATTTTGTAACATTTTTCTGGAAAAAAGTTTTGCAGTTCATAAATTAAAAAATATAAAATATTAATTGTCCCAATTAAAAAAAAATTGATATCATGATCAAAATAAAAATAAATTACACAAAAGATAAAATAATTTTTAAAATATCTTTCCTAAATATGTTACTCTGTCATAAACTTTGGTCAAAGAAGGCCATTGAACAACAAACTGATCAGCAATGTGGTACAATATTTTACCAGTCAGCGACAATGATTTAACCCTGCAAATACTTTCAATGAAGATAATTTTTGATCTAGGCAATATGCAGAGAACTCTGAAGAGGAACAAAATAAAGCACAGTGGTACGCAGGTTCCAGGTCCATTACATAGAAGGAGGTCTGGTCGGTCTTCAATCATGATGACCAACGAATCTTTCAAAGCATGTGCAGTTGTCAAAATTGTTGATGACCACGATTGATGAACTTCTCTGCTTCGTTTCATCTTCAATATTTTGTGTTGTTGGTGTTTGTTGATCTGATGTTGATCGTGGTGGTTGGATGATTCATTCAATAGTTCTTCAAGTGCATGCACTTTTGCTTCACTCAGTCTGTCTGTGTCTGCCAACACATAAGTTCTGGGATGATAAGGGATGGGTAATTTACTGACTAGCTTCAACATCTCACTTGTGTGGCCCCCTGCATGCAAACAAAATTAGTACATTACATTCAGTCTAGTTCAGTTTTCAGCTCAGTGATGTTTGATTCAATTAAAACGTAAAATATTGTCCAAAAAACGTTAAAGTCAAAGATTTTTAAATTTTAAATCCGTTATCACTTAGCAAATTGATTGACAGATTTGGAGATTGAGGAGCCTACGAACCTGACCCGAGAACGATCATGGTGGGAACATTCCAGTCCGGCATTGAGCAATTTTTCGTCGCATCATGAACTTTCATTCGCGACAAACGAATTCTAATAAGCAAATAAAATAATCTGACTATAACGATCGACACTAAACAACCAAACAAACCGCAAACGATCATTGCCTCTCAAGACCAAGGCAGTCAAAAAACGATTGTTTACAATTGTTTGAAAAAGTTTTTAAAAACAAACTTAAGTTTTTACTTTTTTTAAAGTTAATTATTGTTTTAAAAATGTTATTAAATTAAAAACAAATTTGAATTGTGGTTTTTTTGATAATAAAGTTAAATTTGTATTATTTTATTAAATAAAATTTACATATTTTGTCTCAAAAGTGAAGTAATTAGTGATCTAGCGTTAAGGTGGCTGGTTGCCATAGTTACATTAGCCATTGAAATAGTTTTGTGGTCGTTGTAAGCTACTGACGTTTGGATTTTATTTAATTATATTATTTATTATACTTTATTAATTTTTATTTAGATTTTTGTAGAAGAAATGAAGAAAATGGTATTTATTGTTTCAGTTATTAATTATTAAATTTACAATGAAATTGAATTTAAAAATGAAAATCAGTGATTTCCTGATCTGAAGAATGATTGGAATTGGATGGTGATGAATTGGTGTTTTGTGTTTTCTGATTTGGATTTATTTTATTATTTTTTTTGTAAGTATATAAATAAATGAAATTAATAAATATAGAAGTAAATAAATAATGATTTATGTGACCTACAAATAATATTGTGATATTAGACACAGAATGAATTACACAAATCATAAATGTATCTGTTGTTTTCCGTTATTTAAAAATGAGTATTCAACATAAATAGTTCAATTAATCATTAATTGGTTTTAATAATATTATCATTAAATAATTTAATTAATTTAGTCTTTCAAACTTTATTAATTAAATGGTAACATAACAATTTAATAGCTGGTTAATTTTATTAAATTCAGTTAATTTTTTCACAAACTTTATTTTCATTATTTTTTTAGACATAACCAAAATTGCCCAAGTTTTTTTTTTTATAATAGCCTTCAACTGAACAATCAGGGAAAAAAAGTAAAAGCAAAAAATCAGCAAAAAACAAACAATTCATCATTATAGATGGTGTGTCTACAGAAGATATGACTAAAGAACAGGTTTCATTTTTCATCTGTTTCAGACATATGACAAACACCACCTCACACCAACAATTATTTTACAATGACTGAACATTTTAATAAGAATTAATTGAATAGAAACCATAAAAAAAAACTGAAAAATGACCTAACAGCTGGAGGACCATGTGAAAAGATTGCGAGATGAACTGGACAAGGAGAGGCAGGAAAGAAATTATTTCCAGTTGGAGAGGGACCAGCAAAATGCATACTGCGAAATAACTAAGAATCAACTGGAGCAAGTGCAAGCCCAACTCAGGAACAAAGATCGGGAGTTGGAGGAAATTGAAGAGAAACATCAAACCGAAATTAAGGTGGTTTAGAAGTTTAACACTTCAGGAATGTTTAATCGTCATTTTGTAGTTCAAATTCAATGTTTGAATCAGTCTTAAATTTAGTTTTTGAAATAACTTTGTACACATTTTTTCAAAAGTTTATTTTTGTAAGTAAACATTAACGCTCGTTTCTACCGACGCCAATGTTATAACTTCAAAGATCCTTATTTCCAGCACCAGAGTTGCAGCTTCCAACGATCGTCAAGTTATCGTTATCTCGTATGTTCAAGATTTCCGATAGATGAACACAACGGCTTCAGACGCTAACTTTGCTGAACGTTTATTCGAATGCCAACAGTAATAGAATCGCAAAACTAGTCCAACTACATAAACCACATTAACGACTTTAAGCCTCGCTAGTAACCGCACTATTCACAAGTCCTTATATTTTTACAATCTTCTATGGTATGAAATGATTCTATGGTTTACAATCGATGACAAATAGCGAAGATAACAAATATAACAAGATAACAATAATTAATTATATCACGTAATTCTGCTGTTTCAGTGGATATGACAATACTTTTTTTTTATGTTTTTTCAGGTTTACAAACAGAAAGTGAAGCATTTGTTGTACGAGCACCAAAGCCACTTGACGGAGAACAAAGCGGAGAATATGATCTCGTTGAAGCTGGCGCAAGACGAGCACAACGACCACGAGAGGTCCACGTGGGTAGAGAAGCAGCACCTCATTAAATCCATGCAGAGCAGGCAGCTCGATCACGAAAATGCCATCAAGACGCTAAAATTGGTGAATCTAATGTCAATAGTTCATTTAATTATTCATTATTGTCCATATATGTGCATTTGTCGTGTTTAAAATCATCTATTTGTGGCATGTTTGAAAAAGTTCCATAAGTTTTACGCAGAACTTCAAACTCAGACAAAGTATACGTTGGTCTAACTTTAAAATGATTACGGGCAAACTTTTCTATATTGGATGAAATAAAAGTAAAATTAATTAACAATTCCTTTATTAAACAACTGACCATCACGTAGAAACACGATGAATACGTTTCGAACCTGCGCAGTCAGTACGAGCAGCAGATAACTGACCTGAAATCAAAATACGATAAAAAAATAAAACTGCTGCGAGAGGACATGGAGCTGACGCGCAAGACTGAAGTGCACGCAGTTGAGGAGAGGAAGAACTCGCAGATCAGTGAACTGATGAAGGGCCACGAGAAGGCCTTCAGTGAAATCAAGAACTACTACAATGACATCACGCTCAACAATCTATCATTGATTGGCACACTGAAGGTCTGTGTAGTGTGTGTGGTCTGTGTTTGTTTGTACGATTGCAATCTGTCATATATTTTTCATATCGTTTGTATTACTTCATTGTGCGCATCATTTTTCACTTTCTTACCACATAAACGACACGCCTTGAAGCAACAAAAAGTTATTAATAAACTACCGCTCGCTGATTGAATCACTTAGACATTGAAACATATAGGAACAGATTGAAGAACTGAAGAAGAAGGAAGAAAGGATGGAGAAACAAATGAATGAAGTAACCAATGACAACAAAAATCTCATTGAACCATTGAAACGAGCTCAGGATGACGTCAAAATGTTGAAAAAACAACTTAATAACTATGAGAAAGACAAGGCTTTGTTGAATGTTCGTTGTTGTCGTAGAATGTTGGATGTTTTTTGTTGTTGAATATTTGTTGTTGTTGGATTTTTTTGTTTTTAGACGTTTGTTTTTGTTGAATATTATTCATTGTTGTTGTAGAATGTTCGTAGTTGTTGTTGGATGTTTTTTTATTGTTGGATATTTGTTGTTGTTAAATGTTTTTCATTTTTGATATTTGGCTTTGTTGGATGTTTGTTGTTGTTAGTTGTTATTATTGGATGTTTGTTGTTATTGTTTTTATTTTAATTATTTGCTATTGAAAGTTTGTTTTTGTTGTTCCGATCTTTAGTTTTTGTGGGCAACTGACTGCTGCCCAATTTTTTATGTCGATTTGTTTCTTTAAATTAAATACTGTATTTTATTTTACCTTTTTTCTAACGCGAAGACGACGAAGGCAAGATTGAAGGCATGCGAGGAATCGCTGAAAAGTTCTGATTGGGAGTTGGAAGTGTTGAGGCAGAGGTTTGAACAGGTGAGTGAGTCAGTGAGTGAGTGTCTCTTGATGAAAATTAATTTTAATGATGATGGCAAAGATGATTATGATGATGTGGATAAAGATGATGATGTTGGAAATGTTGCTTGCTTTGATGAAAATGATGATTATTATTATCATTATTATTACAAATCATCAAACAATCGACCAATACGATCTCGGTCATTCTTTCAAATATTCTGTTGAAGGTTGAATCTGAACGAGACGAGCTGCACAACAGATTTGTTAGCGCCATCCACGAGGTCCAACAGAAAACCAGCATGAAGAATATACTGCTCGAGAAGAAACTTCAAACTCTGGGTCGGTCTCGTCCGGATTTGTTTAATCTACTCATTTTTTTTGAATTAATTAACTAATTAGATGAATAATTGAACGAATAAATAATTAAATAAAATATTATTTGAACGACTGACTGACTGACTAATACAACATTCAGGTCAGTCGTTGGAGGTGAAAGAGGCCCAGTTATCGAAGTTGCTGACAACATGCAGTTTAGATCCATCGGAACTGAACAACGTCACAAAGAAACTCGAGGTGACTCTATAATTATATCCATAAACCGACCGACCAACCAACCAACCAACCAACCAACCAACCAACCAACCAACCAACCAACCTACCAACAAACAAACCAACCAACAAACCAACAGGACATATTAAATGACAAGAACTCAACAATCAAGCAACTGAAGAGCGAACTGTCTCGCGTATGCAAGGCGCACAACGACCTGCTGAGAACGTACGAATCTAAGATGCAGCATTTTGGCATCCCCGTGGCAGAACTTGGCTTCAAGCCTCTGGAAACATCAGTCACAATGGATGCCATCGTTGGGAAAGGACCAGCTGGTCTCGTTTCGGCAATGTCCTGATGTTTTCAAAACGTTGAGGTTATAACGGTCACTGATTTGTTATACATGCAGTTGATTCCTTTTTCCTCTCTATACAAGCGATTTATGAATAAGTTATTCAGGTGAGAAATTAAATTGATAGAAAATGAGAGAAAGAGAGAAGAAGGGGATGAGGGTTTATAAAAATCGAATGTTTATGCAATCAATTTTGCACAAATTCTTCCTCCTTTCCAACCGTTAAGAAATTGATGTTTAAGAAACGTTTGTGTTACGTACGCGTCCCTAAATACATACATGTCTATTTTATGTGAAAATTGTATTCATACCATTTTATTCATAGTAATGTATCTACTGCTGCTGCTGTAATGAACTTTAAAATGAACTTTATTGTCAAATATTTTTTAATTATGCATATTTAATTTTAAACAATCTTACATAAATAATATCACTTTATTTTTTGTTTATAATAGATTAATTTATTTTAATCTAAACGTCTTTAATTTACTTTTCTCTTTCCGGAGAATCGAAGTGGGCAAACATTTATTAGAACGAATTTGAATGGTGAGAATTACTTCAAAGGTTTATTTATTTAACCGTCAATAAATTTATCACCGCCATGGTGTGGTTATATTTTGATTAAATGTTCGGTTATGTTGCTAATGTGTATGAGGTATGTTCACTGGGAAATATACACGTCCTTAAAATCTGTAGGCATTTCAAAAGATATAAAACTAACACGTCAAAAACGCACATTCATAAAGAGATAGAGAGAGTGAGAAAAAAATTGACAAAAAAGAGAAATAGAGAGAGAGAGATAACAATAAAAAGGAAAAAAAAAAAAGAGAGAAAGAAGTTATCTTCTCCAGTTGATGAGTTCTTGTGTGGCAGTTACTCTGATGATGTTGAAATCAATATGCAGGCTACACCTCCAGTACCTTCGAACTTGTAAAATGAGTCGAATGTTAGTACTATTATTATTATCATTAATCATCATCATCGTTATCAGATTCACCATCATTATTGTAGCTATTAATAACATTATTATTATTATTACATGAGTGTGGAAGCAAGCAATATGATGACGTAAATAAATAAAAGTATGGAGACCTTTAGACCAGACTTGAGTGGGAAAGCATGGACTGTCGATACCGTGAAAGATTCGAGCAATACATCTTCCTGATGATGATAATGGCAGTACATGATGATGATGAAAAATGTGTGATGATGATGATGGTAGTATATGATGATGATGAATGTGTGTGTATAGACGTACGCGAATTTGCATATTTGTGCATTGTGTGTGCATGTGTTTTGAGGGAATTAGGAAATCAGCCAGTTCCAGGGAAAGACTTTTAGAATGATCATCGGTGGATAAATGTTGAATGTAAATCAATTAGTATATCAATCAATCAATCAATCAATCAATCAATCAATCAATCAATCAATCAATCAATCAATCAATCAATCAATCAATCAATCAATCAATCAATCAATCAATCAATCAATCAATCAATCAATCAAACAAATAAGCAATGGATTAACCAACCGACCAACCAACCAACTAATCAACCAATCAATCTAATACAACCAACCAACTAATCAACCAATCAATCAAATACAACCAACCAACCGGTGAGCATGTGGTCATGCATGTACGTGTTGATGAAGTTACGAATGTCTGATCTTAATGAGGACAACTCTTGAGGTGTTGCCTGTGTGTGCGTGCGCGTGTGTGTTTATGTGTGTGCGTGCGTGTGTGTCTGTGTGGGTGCGTTGTTGTGTGGTCAAGAATTATCACCATCGCATCTTCATCATATGACCATCACCATCCTCATTAATATTAATTTGAGATTTAGAGTAACGTTAAGTCTGTGCAATGTTTTTGAATAAGGCATGCCATGCTGCCTAATCATAACAGCATAACTGGCACACTGAGTTCAACTGCAAGTGCAAATTGGTCTGTATCAGTAAATTATTCAAGAACCTACCTGCTTTATCTTATGATAATGCGATAAGAGAAAACGCCATTAAAACATGTTCGAATGCATACCAGTTCTGAGGATGTTTCGAGAAGTTTCTCCCTGCTGATGACGTGTTCCGATGAATTCTCCATGTGGTGCTGCAGCTTCAACCGCAAGCTGTCAATCCTTTCCTCGTCCACACCATCCTCATCACCACAGGAGTAACATGTTTTGTAGGAGGCGCTGATGAGTGAGTGAGTGTTTTAATGTTGTTGTGGATGCAACATTATTTGTATGAAGCATTGATGAGTGAGTGTTCGTGATGGCATGGTATTAATGACGGCAAGGATGATAAAGATATCAACTATGGGATGATGTCAAAGTAGGCGTTGATGCCAAAGTTGATGATGATTAGGATGAGGGAATTACATATTATGATATTGTATCCTAATATAATAATTATGATATTGTATCCTGATATAATAATTATGACGTTGATGGATCGACTTTAGATAATGACAACGTTGATAAACAACTCAGTATGCACTATTAGTTATAATTAAAACGATCACGCATACACATTCAATGAAATCAGCCTCATTATACTTTGATTATAACACGAACAAACCAACGCTCGGCAGTAGCACACCATACACCATTAACTAAAAACAGTCGACAGGTACAGAGACACTAAATGTGCAATTTAAACGCGAATTCCAACCTTTTAAGCATATCATAAAATTTGTAGAGAAGGTACATCTCCGTTCTTTCCTGGCCGTCCACTCTCTCGAACAAAAAATCGACAATTCCGTCTATTTCGTCGTCACTGAAGTCGCCTCTGCAGCGATAGCGATAGCAAAGGTTGGAGAACTCAACGATTATGCCGCTACGTCGACATCCATTGTGATCTAGGCGTGTTTGGATGTACAAGTTTTTATGTACGTATAACTTGAGTGTCTTCATGTTTATGCTGTGTCTTTGCGTGTATGTGTACGTATGTATGCACGTCCGAGTCAATATGTGTGTACGCCTTTGGATATGTTGAAATGAAATACAATCTATAACATCTACTGCACAAATTACTAAAACTTGGCATGCTAAGCAAGCTATTGCATCATTTATTTCGCAGCACTGTATAGCTATATCGATAGGTAGTTAATTTTTTTCATAACTTTCTAACAAAATTCCATGAATTTTTCATAATTTTTCATGACCAAGTTCAAATTCCGTGATTTTTTATGGCCTGGAAAACAAGTTACTCTCAGTTCTAAGACTCTCCACCCTCATTAAAAAACCATCAATAACGAACAACTGAAAACAAATTCCACAACTCATCACTCCTGACCATTTATAAATTGTAAATCCCTCAATTGCCTCTTGATGACGTAAGAAGGAACGCCTACGTCATCGGCCAGTTGGATGACGTCAAATTCAATGATTCGTGACGTCATTGCGGAGGATAGCAGGTCAGGTCGCTTGGTCAGTAACATGCCCAACACTGGACACTGGTGTGATAATGATGATAATTTAGCCGATGTTGACGATGATGAAGATATTAACGTTGGAAAATATGACCAGAAAACATGTTAACAAAAAGCGTGAGGACATGAATGAATCACATCAATATTTAGTGAATGGCTCATTAATATTTACGACGATTATTACCAACACATCAGCATAAGTACAACTATCATCATGATCATAATCACCCTTCAAAAATTCTTCACAGCTCACCTTCTTGACGACGTCAAGCAAAATGTTGACAGACGAATAAAACCTGATGACGCATGTGTTGTACGTTGGTTGGTCACTGCGCAAGTATCTGCAATCATGCAACTCCAGGTAGCACAACAGCGTTGATAAACCTGTCGTATGTGTGTTGTGTATGTTATTGTGAGTGAGTGTACATACGAGTGTGTGTGTGTGTGTGTGAGTGTGTGTGAGTGTCTGTTTGTTTGCACGTCTGCGTTGTTTGTTTGTGTGTTTGTTTATCTGTCGTCAACGCTAACATGATCATCATTGTCGTCGTTGCCACCATAAGCATTTTTAAAACTCCAGTTCTGAGGTACCTATAATCTCACATGATAAATCAACAATGAAAACTGAACATAGGTGCTCTCGAGTGAGGCAACCAATGGCAGTAAGAAACATTCACCCAACAACAAAAAATCCTCAAAAACAGCAACAATTACGTAACAACTACCTTCTTCTTTAACATCCAACTTATTGACCAGTTCCTCAATGGACAGGGCTCTCTCATGGCCGAAACATCTCCTCAGCACTCCAACATCGCCACCCACCACCTCCATTCTCGTGTCACTGTTATCTCCACTCTGGTTAGATAATCTTCCTTTGCGATCATCATAACCATCGTTTCTCCCAACATCACTATCACCATCACCACCATCATCAGTAATCTCCATCGGCAAGTTGAATTCATCAAAGTTGACACCTGCCAGCTGTTCATATAAAACAATCAGAGATACTTTCAACTACTTTTTCAGTTCGAAGTTTATAAGAGAGTATGGAGTTTGCTTTAAGCAAACAAAATTGACAAAAGAAGGTCATAACCTGGTTAGTGATTGACTTACCTGCTCGTTGTGTACTTTCAGCTCAGCACCGATATTTACGTCACCACACTCTTTACTGACGTCACATACACCTTTAATGACGTCATCGGCGCCATCACTTTCCAGACAGCTGCACTGTTGGAAAACTCGTAGAACGAACTTCTTGATGGTGATGCGGTCGAGCGATCGAGCGTGGATGTGGCGCTTCAGTTCCCTTAGGTCTGAGCCCTGGATGTCGTCGTCATTAACTTCATTTAGGATCATTATATCAATGTTCATCGCTATCATCAGTCCTATAATCATCACATCCTCATCATCACACCTTCATCATCACATCCTCACCATCATCATCACATCCCCATCATCACATCCTCATCATCACAGCATACAGTGGGATCCAGGAAGAGATGGCAATATGAAATCCCGCCATCCCTGCCAGCTCTTCCAATCTCCTGGACATAGGACTCAATGGTGCGAGGAAAGTTGTAGTGGATGACACCGCGGATGTCCCTCTTGTCCAATCCCATTCCTGCAGGATCCGGATGATGACGATGGTAGTGGTAGTAGTAATAATAATAACAACAACAATATGCTGTGATGCTTCGAGTCAAGTTACAGTAGTTAAGTAACATGACTGTAACAGCCTTTAATTATTCATCTAATAACCGAGTCTGAATAGTTTTTAAAAATGTTCGAATGTTTTGCATCATATGCTTCCTGAGATAAGTTATTCTAATCTGTAAAAAACTTTTTCCTGCAGTTTTCTTGTTTTACTTTTTCCATTCTTAATGTTTTACTATGTCTCTTTCTTCTTGGGTCGAACATGAATATCGGTTCATCACGACAGTTTATTACTTCCGTGCCATTTACAATTTTATACATTTGAATTAGAATTACAAGAGAATTGAATTATAAACTAACAACAAACAAACAACAGACAGACAAACAAACAAACAAACAAACCAAACGCCACAGTAGCAACGATGACTCTTAGCTTGCCGGCCATGAACTGTTTTTGTACCCTCTTCCTGTGTGCAGGCGTCATACCAGCATGGTAACATTCGGCACTCCATGCCAGAGAAAGTCCTAAGGCTTTCGTTGATTTCTTCTTTCGTGTCTGTGTTGGTTTGCTTCTCCTGGCTACAGAGGAAGATTAGTAGATTACTTTTTTCCATTTCAACTTCAATGAATCGTGAAAAAATCGCGGATAAAGTTACGAATTATTAAACAATTTGATGGCATTATTGAGTAAATATCAAGTAAAAAAGAACCTGAATTTGTAAATACAACGACTAAACTAACCAGCTTTCTTGTCATTTCCATTCTTTTTCTTGCGTTTTTGTCCAGCTGCACTACTTCCCTCACCATCCTCCTCACCATCTTCATCCTCTTTCTCGTCACCTCTCTCACAAACGTCCTTCACAGCCTCATCCCCGCCGCTTTCAACCACACATCTCCCAATTTCAGTCACGTGGCCTTGCATACGGGTCCTGATAATAGTAGCCACTCTTTCGGTTTCCTCCCGCCTGGTGCAGTAGACGATGATGGAAGAGCAGCCGGAAAAATTTCTCCCCTTGAGAAGTTGGATGAGCATTTCATCCTTATCTTCATCTCTGGAGACGGTGATCATGAGGTTGGTGGGCACGGGAGCGTTCATCACGACGGAATGTTCGGGTATGTTGAAGTTCTGACAGACACTCCGTATCGTGCTTTTGTTGGCGGTTGCTGTCAGACCCAACATGACGCTCACTCCAAATCTTTCGCGTAGTGTCTGCCAGTTGGAAGGGAGGGAGGGAATGATGATGGCGACAAGAGACGCGATGGTGGTAGTGGAGTGATGATCGTTTGAAATGATGCTATGCAAGTGACAAAGTTGGACAATATATGAAGTAATAAAGATGATTTTAATGAAGAAAAAGAACCAAGCTAGGAGGTACAAAACCATCTATTCATCCAACCATCAAGTTCATCCACTTATCCATCTACCAGCAACCCGACCAGCCACCTACCTACCTTGCAGACCATGAGATAGGATGGTCTGAAGTGGTGGGACCACTCAGACAGGCAGTGCACCTCATCAATACACACAAATGAAATTGGTGGGAATTTCCCGTTATCTCCAAAAATAGAACCACCGACGAGCATTTCCGGCGAAAGAAGAAGGAAGTGAAGATCTCCGCTGATAGCAGATTCTATAACCTTTGACCTCTGATCTGGGGTCATGTTGTTGTGTATGCATGCTCCTTTCAAGCAGGCTGGAAGATCCATGACCTAATTAGGTGCGGTTGAGGAGTGGAAGAGTTTCTTGAATCAGTGATTTGAAAGTGTAGAGAGAAATGTTAGTATTTATAATCATCATCATCATCAACATCATCATCATCGTCATCAACCACAACGACAAAACCACCTGATCCTGCATGAGACTGACAAGCGGGGAGATGACGAGGCAGAGGGACCGACTCCTGTAGGCGTACATGTAGGCAGGCAGTTGGTAGCAGAGGGACTTACCAGACCCCGTTGATAGAACCACCATCGTCGACTGACCTGTGTGTGGTGTGGTGTGTGTGTGTGTGTGTGTGTGTGTGTGTGGTGTTTGTGTGTGTGGTGTTTGTGTGTGCAGTTGAGTCGCTGAGTTCTAGTAGTTGTGTATGTTGGTTGGTTGGTGGTCTGTTGGATGTTCAATTATGCTAAAGCAGAAGCAGCAGCAGCGTAAACAACCACAAGAGAGCGACAACAAAACATCGAAAACCAACCACACAGTATCCTCATAACGGCTTCCTCTTGACCAGGCTTGAACTTTTTTATACCAAATTTATTCAGAGCTTTCCAAACATTTTCAGGAGTTTCTAAAGTGGAAATAATAATAATAATAATACAATAATAACAATACACGAAAAATAAAAATTATAGTAAATAAATGTTTAAATAAATAAATAATGAACAAACCAGGAATTGAGCCATCATCATTCAGTTGGATGAGTGGGTTGAAGATGTTTGATGATGACAACGATGAGGTCTGGCTTATGAATTCCATGCGGTGGGAGCTGCTGAACATGTCCTTGCGTTTTTCTGTCTCTTCTGCATTGTAATTTGTTAAATTGTAATTATTTCAACTAAATTTTATTAATTTATTCAAAATAAAAAACCTAATTTATAATAAATTTTAACAATTTGTTGGGAAAATACTTAAAATAAACCCTTAACCTAATTAACTTTTATTAACTTGCTTTGAAAATACTTGAAGCAAAATTACTTTATGTTAAATACTACACTTAAAATTTTAACATAGGAATTGAACTATAGCACTTGAACCGATAATTGACCTGGAAGTTTTAGCATCATTATATAATGACCTGCAATGTATATCCGAAGATATAGATAGATAAGAGTATGCACTACACAATGTGTTGCTGACTCCACAGCTGAGATTATGAAAATATAATATCTTTGTTTGATGCATTTTTATTTTCCAAATTAGGAGCAGAATAAGTTTCGGTAAAAAAATTATTTTTTTTTATTATAAATATTACTTTTTCTGATAAAAAAATACCGAACAGTCTAGTTAAAACAAAACTGTTATGATAAAATATCAATGAAAATATAAAAAATTGAATAAACAACCAGAAATTTTAGAAGACAGTTCTTCAAGAGACATGGAAGATGCAGAGGAGCCTAAGAAGTCATCACCACCACCGCCAACTTGAGAGAGGTCGTTAATGTTGTCGTTGTAATTGTTTTGGCTTCCCATCATCCAATCAATTTCATCTGCGATCTTCCCTTTTGACCGTGATGCCTTACCTACAATTGTTTCACATAACAATTTATGTAGCAACTGAAAATATAGATCAATCATTTATTATTTTTAAAGGATTAACTTTTAAGTGAAATCTAAAATAAAATAAGAAAATCGAAGAAACAATGGACAACCCAATGACCACACCTTTACAATTTCTGGCCCAATGACCAGACTGACCACACTTGAAGCATGCTCCAGACGATAATCCGCGGGAATTCCCACCATCATCATCATCATCATTGGAATTTCCGAACTTGAGTTTCATTTTGTGTTTCCACATTTGTCTTCTGGCAGCTGCCCCTGAAATGTGTCCTTGACCTTTGCGCTTGTACTTCTTCACTTTCATGTTCAGTCTAACGTAATTATCACTCAGTGACTTTGATGATCGCGATGCTGCTGCTGCTGATGATTTTGCTGTCGGTTTTGAAGATGAAGACGGCAGTGGTGATTGTGATGCTAACGTTGTGGGAGCTAGGGTTGATGACTTAATCATTTCACTCTTTGACAGTTTAGGATTTTTCCCTCTCTTCGTTATAACCTGGAAAAAATTTTGATTGAAAACAGTCAGCAAACTTTATTTCTGAAATGGACAAACAAAAGAAGCTAACTTTTTTAAGGTTAACATCGTCACCACTTTTGTTTAATTTCAAATTTTCATCAGTCTTTTTCATGTTATCATCAATTGATTCGAAATCTTCCCACTCAAACTTTCCCTTTTTCGATGCACTTTTTGAATCAATATTTTTGCGTTTAGTGCCGACAGCAGTAGCACTTCTATTGATGTCATTAATGCTTGGAACTCGCGCTGCAGTTGTGACGCTGTCACTTTTGACGTTAAAGTTCTCGTTGTCATCCTGTTCATCGTTATAAATATCCTTGACTGGTGCGTGGGAGTTATACAGCTTGTCATTGACACTGACGTGTTTTACGAAAGCCATCTGAGGTAGTCTGTTGTTGTTTGCTGATGTTAAATGATTGTGGTGACTAAATCCACCATTGTCATCATTCATGTTATTAATACCTCTAGGATCATTACTTTCTTTGGATGGTGAGGACCACGATGATTTAGATGACGTGATGTTTCCAGCAGTAACGACAGCTACATCGCAGTTGTTACTATTGTAATCATTTTGTATCATCGATGATGATGGTGGTGTTGGTGATGAGATGATATTTTTGTTGTTCAGTAGCCACTTGTTTTTAATATTTGAAGATTTGATGGCAAGCAAAGGAGAACACAATGTAGGCGCTGTTTTGTTTGGATGAAGTTGTTTCTTTAAAATATATGTATCTATATATAGCATCACAAGATTCTGACTGTTATAAATATATAAATAAATTTAACTGTATTTTTTTTATCCTAATTTGTTAAATATTTAAATTATCTTTCATCTTTTTATTCAACTTATTATGGGCAAACTAATTTTGAACTTAAAAAAAAATGAACACCTTTCGGTTTTGGCATCTTCTGGTCATAAACGGTGACAACTCCATTGATCTGTTGGTGGGAAAATATTTCTTTCAGAAAAAATATTAAATTAATTATAAAAAGTTAAAATGAATGAATAAATGAGTGAGTGAATGAAAGAATGAAAGGATCAAGAAATGGATGTACTAATAAATGAATGAATAAATAGAGGAATAAATTTACAAATGAAAAAAATGATTCAAAAATAAAAGAAATGATTCAAAGAATATATAAAATATAATTATATTAATAAATCAACAGATTAAAAAACAATTATTAAATAAATCAAGCAGGGTACAAGTGAATGGATAGACAAACTAAAAAATGTACAAATGAAAGAATGAGAATAAGTAACTGAAGAAATAAACTAACAATCAATGAATGAATAAATGAATGAATGATTAAATGAATGAAAGAATTAACCTTCCCATAACTACCAGAGTCCTCCCCAAGTTGCGCCTCATCATCGTTGGCTGGCAGGCCACCAACAAATGATTTATTTTTGCAATTTTTTGCCATCTTAAATCCCTGGTTTAATATAGTAGGAAGAAATATAAAATTACTTGAATGTGTTTTTAATTTTTAAGACAGGATGCAAGATGGTGTAAAAGTTAAGACAGCTGCTTCTGCTGCTGTTGCACTGACATTATTTGAACACGAAGGAAGAAAAAAAAGTAAAACATTTTTCGATATGAAGATGTTTTTTCTAATCTTTCATGATTAAAAAAATCATAAAAAAAACTAAATGAGAGTTTAATTCAAACGTAGAGTAAAAATTTTTTGGTCATGCAAGTAAAATGCATGTAGGTAGATGTGTTTTAATGTAAGTGTGGTTTTTACTAACTCAAAAGTTAATTTACGTTAATAACAAACAAATAATGGATGATACAAACTTTCTCATTCATGTTCATCATAGCTTTCTCAGAAAGCTTCTTCCCCAAACTTGCCATAACAGATGATGCATTTGATTTTCTAAATTCATCATACTTTTTATAAAGGTCTTTAAAAAATTTAAATAATTTATTTACAACTATTAAAGTTAACAATTTAACTGTTGTTATGACAGCTCATAATAAGACCATATTTTATTTTTAAAATAATGAGTCGGCTAAGAATGGTTGAATTACCTAGAATATTCCCACTTGCATTTCGAATGTCATCCTGGATTTAATTAAAATTATAATTGAGTTAATAATATAAATATTAATAAATTAGTAATATATATATATAATACTATTAAGTATTAATAATATTAACAATTAATTAATAAAATTATATTACAAATTATATTATTTATTAATTATAAGATCAAGATATACATATAAACTATAAAGACAGAATGGAATTTGCATTTATTTATTTATAATATATATTTTATATTTTAAGTAAAATTAAAAGAAACACCACAAATAATTTGTGATATTTGATCACCACCCACCATCACAGCATGCTACTGATTAACTGTACATTATAGTATTCAACTACTAAAGTTAGTAGTACTACTGTACTTGTACTATACAGTTTACACACGACAAAAATGATTAAAAAATATATTATGATGTAAAAAAAGTCAACAATTTCAATAATTTCTCAGTAATTTGTAATAAATTAAAATTAAGTAATGCTTACATTAAATGCTTACAAGTAAATTTAATTAAATAAAAACTAAGCAGTTATTTAATTAAATTTAAAATTCAAATTCTGAATAAAAAATAAAATAAATTATGAGACTTTAATTAAAAATTAATTTTAAATTAATTATAAATTAATTAATTAAAATTTAAAAATTATTAAAAATTAAATTTTAAAATTTAATGAAAAAAACCTTATTCGGTTTTCTGGTATTAATGACGAAAAAATCCGATTCCCAGGTTTTTAAAGTTTGCTTCAATTCTTCAATTTCAGACATTTTCAATTTGATCAATGAATTGAATTTAAAATTTTTTAATATTTCTTGAATATAAATAAACTTTTAAAATTTGGCACGAAAGGTCTGTTTACATAGAACATTGATTCTTAAACTTTTTTATGTGTAAATAAAAACGCGCACGTGTTTGTTCACTTTTCATCAAACTTTTGAATTTAAACTGGAGTGTTTAATAAAAATATTTGTTACGAATCGCGATTAAACAAAACATTTAAAGAATGTTCCATAATGATGACGACGATGATGAATCAATATTAGTTGATGATGGGAATGATGGTGATGATGATGAGGAGGATGATGTGACGTCCAGGATCCGAGCGTTACAAGATACAATTGCAAACAAGAAGAAAGAACTTCATATACTTGAACGGAGGTTGAGTCATTTGTTGGAAAAGGTAAAATTAAAATGTGATTTAATTTGATATATATATATTATATATATATATAGTATTATATATATATAATTTATATGTATATAATATAATATATATTATATATATTATATATATATATAAATATATTAATATAGTATTTGACATTAATGGTTGGTGCCATCTGTGCCAATGCATGCCAATAAAATAAAAGTAATTAAATAATCATTGAAACAATTATGTTAGTGTGTTAATGTTAGTTTTAATGATCACATGATGAAGGTTTTTGGTATAATGTGATGGTATGTGATGTGATGTGATGTGACAGTTGCTTATCACATCTGACTTGCTTGAAACTTTGCTTTAATTTTTTATTATCGAATCCCCGAATGCATAACAAGTTTGATTTACATGTATAAATGATTAATCTACCCATTAATTTCAACCCCTAATTTTTAAAAGCAAATAAAATGTTGTCTGTTTTGTTTCATGTATTTAATATATTGGCTTCAATGTCTTGTACATTTAATAGCCTCTTTTGACATTAAAGTAATTTTTTAAAACTGAAAATTTGTTAGCAGCAGACGAAAGTAAAGTACTCGCCACCGATAAGTGAGCAGAAATTGACCAACGATGAAATCCTGAGATACAGCCGCCAGCTTATTCTGCCTGAGATCGGCGTTAAAGGTTGTAAGAACACCACCCCGCTATTTTATATATCAAATCGCAAAATTATTAAAAATTTTTTATAAAGTTATTTTTATTGATGTAATATTTATAGATATCTTTTCATAAGTTTGTCTAGTACATGAAATTTACATGAAACATAAATTTAAAAAAAATGATAGGAATTAATTTAAATTATTTAATGAAGATTTTTCTGTTTGCATTAATTGAAGGTCAGTTGAAACTGAAGCACTCATCAGTGTTGATCGTTGGTTGTGGGGGCCTTGGATGTCCTGTAGCCCTCTATCTGGCAGGGGCTGGTGTAGGTATGTACTTATTTTTTTCACTTGTCATTTTTTTTCTTTTCTTTCACTGTTTTCTGCTTATCGAATGCAATTTACCATCGGATTCAGGCAAATTAGGGTTAGTGGATTATGACGTGGTGGAGGTGAGCAACTTGCACAGGCAGATAGGCCACAACATGGAGACCGTCAACAAACTCAAGTGCTCCTCACTGGCCAGCACATGCCACAGGTTTTTTCTGTTGATATTTCAGTTCAAGCACTTTGTTTGTTTTATAATTATTAATCCATAATCCTTTAATCATAAATGTACAACTACGCTTGTTTTTGTGAATGATATTCCAACCTTAGATTGAATCCCGAAGTAAAGATCAGAGAATACCCACTTCAACTCAACAGTGATAACGCCCTGGACATCATTGCACAATATCTTTTTATTCTGACATTTTTTTAGATTTACAAAATTGATTTTAACTATTTTACAGGATACGATTGTCATTCATGCTCTCAGTTTAACAGCTTTCACTGATGTTATTATTAATGTGCGGTGGTTATGTTAAGAGGATGAAATTTTTTTGTATAAATTTACTCTGGGCACATTTTTCTTATTAAATTTTGTAATCTTTATTTCTTTTTTTAACATCGTAAATTGAAAAAATTAAAGCCTGATCCAATATTTATTACAGTATTTAGAAATTGCTTCAATAAAATTTTAAAGAAAATTAAAACGTTATTTATTCACTGTCAACAAACCTTAACGCTGCAACATCTGACTTTAAATTCAAACCTTGACCTTAACGTCATGACTTTGTCAACCTCAACCTGACCTGATGAACACGTATGACGTAGTGGTAGATGGAAGCGACAACGTGGCCACCAGGTACTTGCTGAATGATGCCTGCGTTCTCAGCCGCAAGCCTCTCGTCTCCGGAAGTGTCCTAAAATTTGAAGGACAGGTTGGCTGATTTGCTGCTGTTTTTGTTCTTTGATGGGTGGAGTGATTGATTGAATGGCTAGTTAAATGTTTGATTGGTTGAGCGTTTGAGTAATGGTTTTTGTTTTAAAAGTTACAGATTTACATTTGATTTCGTTTGACGTGTCATGTCTCTACTTGAATCTGTTTCATAATTGTCATTTATCCGAACGTTAAAAATTTTCAGCTGACAGTGTACAACTACGACAGTTCAACTCCTTGCTACCGATGTCTCTACCCTCAACCACCCAACTCTGTCACCAACTGTTCTGATGGGGGCGTGCTAGGGCCTGGTTGGTCATCTTGGTTATGATGATTGTGGTGACCAAAGTTTCAGAGATTTTGGCCGGAGTCGCAGTCGGGAGTCGGATATTTTACATCCGGCTCCGACACGCTGATGGTGGCAATGGTGGTCGCGGCGATTGTTTTAATAAATGATTTTTGATTGATTGATTGATATATTGATTGATTCAATAACTGACCGATTGATCGATCGATAAGTGGGTTGATTAATTGCTTGACTGAATACACTACAGTTGTCGGTCTTATTGGCACGTTACAAGCCATAGAAACGATTAAAATACTCGTTGGAAGACCACGTGAGTTATATTATCAGCTTCTTATTTTTGCCAGTCATCATACATTCAACATTAATTCATTTATTTTTTATTCAATTTGCAGATTGAAATAGTTTAATTAAGTCATCTAATTGTCAATTAATGATAATTTTTATGATTTTTGTTGTAGCAACGTTTGCCAAGCGGTTGTTGCTGTTTGATGGGATGGATGGGTTGATCAGGAGTGTTAAGTTGAGGAACAAGAAGCTGGATTGTTGCGTGTGTGGCAGTCATCCTTCCATTCATCAGCTTGTTGATTACGTTCAGTTTTGTGGAGCTGGCCCTGACGACAAGGTAAGATTGCTGGTTGACTAGTTGGTTGGCTGGTCAGTTGGCTGGCAGGTTGGCTGTGTGGTTGGTCGATTGGCTGGTCAGTTGGTTGGCTAGTTAGTTGGCTGAGTGATTGATTGATTGGCTGCCTGGTTGGTTGGCTGGTTTGGTGATTGACATTTAAGATGTTTAACCGATGAGACTGACTGCATCATAAACACTTTTTGTCGATGTTTTGTTTCTTACTTGCAGGAAAAGCCGGTCAGTTTACTTGATCCCGTTGACCGAATAACTGTCAAGGTAACTAATATCAATTAATTAATTAATTATATTTATCGATCTATTCATTCATTTATCTATTGATTCATTCATGCATGCATTTTTTCATTCATTCATTCATCAGTGATGAATTATTAAATCATTTTGTTACTAATAATAAATTTTCACTAGACTTATAAAAAAGTTTTCAATGATAATATAATTAAGAACTATGAAATAAAAATAGCATAATAATAAAAATAATAATAAAATAAATAATAATAATAATAAAATTATTATGAAAATAATAATAAAGGCCTACAAAGACATGCTGGATCGAGGTGTCAGTCACGTGCTTGTTGACGTCAGGGAACCCGTGGAGTTGGAAATATGTCAGCTACCCTGTCTGTCCGTCAGTAAGTGTCGAGGAGGAGAAGGAAGATGATGATGATGAGGGGGAAGATGAGGAGGAGGAAGAAGAAGATGATGATGACGAGGGAGAAGATGATGAGGAGGAGGAAGATGATGATGAGGAAGATGAGGGAGAGGAAGAGGATACTGAGGAGAAAGATGGAGATAAGGAGTTGGAAGAGGTGATGAGGAGAAAGAGAATGGTGATGAGTAGGAAGAGGATGGTGATGATGATGAGGTGGATGAAAAAGCGGAGTATGTTAGTGTGGGTGATGATGGGTTAAAAATGATAGAGTTAGTCAATGTTAGTTTATGCCGTTTAAACAGTTTAGCGAATAAATTTTTAATTGAAAAAATGACGAAAGTGTTTGGTGGAAAGTTGTTTTTGATTTTATGATAATGCCTACTTCGATGGTGAAATGTAGTTACACAATATATTTCTCATTCGTCAGATGTCAGAATGAGAAACTTGGGCAAGCCGGACACCAAAACGTTGATCCTCACTCAGTTGGAGAAGTGTCAGTCCAACAAAGGTCAGTCGCGTTCCTTGCTTCCAGTGGCTACTATTTGTTTTGGTTTGAACATTTGTTGATCAGTCCATTCACCAATTCGAATAATAATTTATTAATTTATCTGTCCGTTTACATTTGTTCACTTATTCATTCATTTATTCATTCATTCATTCATTTATTCATCTATTCTTCAATCCCTCCAGTTGTCGTCTTGTGTCGTCGCGGCAACGATTCGCAAGAAGCTGTCATCAAGTTGAGGCAACTATTGCAGAACTCCTTTGCTGCTGCTGCTGCTGATGTCGATGATGCTCACACTGGTGATGATAATGATGCTAGTAGCTCTGGCGATAGTGGTAGTAGTTTTAAAGAGGATGATAATTTTCCTAATTACGAAACAGCTTGCGAAGCCACCACACCAACTACTGCTGATTCTATCACAAACTCTAGTGACGATAGTATCAAAAATGTCAATAATAATAATAATAATAATAATAACAATAATAATATGAATAAAAAGAAGAACAGTAATAATAAAAATAATTGCGCACTGGATGCGGAGGGAGTGTATGAATATTATGTAGTTGACATTGTGGGCGGGCTGTATGCGTGGAAGAAACACGTTGATAAGGACTTTCCCATCTATTAGCTGGTTGCTTCTTTTTCTCTTCAAGTTTAAAATATCTATGAAATTGTTTTATATTTTGAAAAAGAAATTTTAAAAATTTGTTAATTCTTTCTTTTCTTCATTGGCAAGACTTTCAAATGTTTTTCGTGAGTAAACCGATATTGCTGAGAAGCTCTTAAAATTGCGAATTCTGTTTTGGCGTGTTCCTTCGGAATTAATTACAGGCTGACAGTTGAGTTGAGTATTGATGCGCCTACTTGTTTATGTGAGTTTATGTATGTTTGTGTGTTTGAGTCCTGTTTGTATGTTTGTGTGCGTACACGATTTGTATGTATGTTTGTTGTGGATTATATGTATTTTATGTATGTGCTGTATATATGTGCGTTGTGTGTATCTGTATATTGTATGTGTGTTTTTCATGTATTTTCCTCATGTGTACTTTATGTATGTGTGCTTTGTATATATATATATATATATATATATACACAATATATATATACACAATATATATATATATATATATATATTGTGTATACATTGTGCATGTGTTTTGTGTGTGTGTTTGTGTGTGGCGCCTGCCTGCGTGTTTAATTAATGTATTTGATTGCTCAGATTATGTTCTCAACAATAGTGACAGTAACATCAGCAATCATAACATTAGAGTTAATTAAAATTCTTTCTTCTTTTTAAATTAGCTCTTCATTCCTTTATTCACTCGTCTATTTGCTCTATTCATCATCGGTATACAATCGCTTATAATATTTGTTCATTCATTCATTCATTCATTCATTCATTCATACATTCGTTCATTCATTCATTCATTCACCCATTCGTTCGTTCGTTCGTTCATTCATTCATTCATTCATTTATTACTTAATTCATAATTTATTTTGTATTTATTTAACGCCCATTCAATAAAATAAAATAAATCATCTTTCTTCCATTTTTATGTAATTCTAAATATCGTGACATTCATTCATTCATTCATTCATTCATTCATTCATTCATTCATTCATTCATCCGAAATTTCATTTCTCCACTACTTATCCATCCATCGACCTGTCCAGAGATATCTATCATTGTTGTATATGAATAGATAAATATTGAGAGTTGAATTCGACTCTTTGATATTAATCCCTGCGTTGTTTACGTTGTGTCTCTCTGATTGACGTTTCTTATTAAATCGTCATCATTCTAATTAAGCTGGCACTGCTTCAGAAGGATTGTGTTGATGTGACTGTTGTTGTTTTTGTTGTTGTTTGTTGTTGACGATGTGTTGTTGACTGGCGTGTTGTTGATGTGTTGTGGTATTGTTGGCTGGCGTGTTGATGTGTTGTTGATGGGTTGTTGATATGTGTTGATGCGTTGTTGATAGACTGTTGATGTGTTGTTGATGTGTTACCGATAGGCTTTTGTATATGTTATCGATAGTATGTTGATATCTTTGTTATTGCCTATGTTGCTGACGCATGATTGGAAGTGGTGTTCGTTGTTTGTAACGCTGAGATCTCATATTGCAGATGATATTTTTATTCTGCTACTCTATGATGTTTTAATTAGATTCACGTGAAAATTAATAATAACGTCGTTAATTAGTTAATTAAAAAATTTTCTGAATATTTGTAGAACTTATAAAATTGCATAGGAATTGCTTATATCTTTTACGATATTTGGATTCCCACCGGTTTGATATCTATCGCGTGCCGAATAACCGAATGGCGAAGGACTGCACGTACTGAATGAGTTTGAAGTACCGCATGAGTTTGAATTTTTAAAAGGGTTCCTAGGTACCGGAACCTCGATGCCTGAAAAAGTGCAAGTACCGTGCCGCACTCCTTTTGATGCTTTTTAAAATGCGAGTAATATGATAGTTGTTTGACATACTTGAGGACCTTCACTCTTTGTAAGCTGAGAACAACTTCGTGGCCAATTTCTGCATAATTTTTTACCGAAATTCGTCACCCACTGGTTGGTCTGGCATGTACACAGCTTTTTAAATATTCATGTACCAAATGTGACTCTCGTCCCACTGTGGCTGGTCTGCACATCTGTCCATCTCACCTCAGCTTGTAGGCAGTGAAGTCCAAATCATGAGACAGGCGTTGTTAACTTGTATGTGCATCTAGTAGGTCTTACAGTTTTAAAACATTTTCAAGTGTAGACTTATTGGTTTGATGTAGACGGTTATAATTTTTAGCACATGTTGGTTCTTTGCCACATCAATACCATTATTTTGGTACTATCGTCATTTGGTGTTGTCTTTGATGCCAAGAAATTATTGAGGCTAAGAAATTAATGCTGCTTTTGATAATTTCATCTAGCTCCATCTTTGGTTAAACAGTCTTGTTGGCTGTTCACTTTGCCGCCTTTTCGCGCAACTGAATATTTTCAAACCTGAACCATGAAACGGCTTCTTATTGCTGTTGTTGTTGGTTGATATTATTGTTTCAGGTTGAAGATAGTAACTCCTTGTTGATGTTCAGACCAACATCAAACTTTTTCGCGAAACATTGTTGAATCACGATTGTATTAATGTTCAGCGGAATTCAAAGAACAATTACTTTTATTGCTATTAAATTGTTTTTATCATCATCATCTTAGTAAACTTGCTTGCAAAACTTCGCCTGCCACTTTCGTTATGATATACCGGCTTAATACTACTTAAAACCCTAGTAACACTTGACTTCTACGTTGAAGTCGCTTTGTTGTTGTTGGTATTGTTAATGCTTCTACTGCTGTGGTTGATGCTTTTGTTGTTTTGTTATTGGTGTTGATGTTGTTGTTAATAAGATCATATCATATGTTAAGACGCAGAGTATTATATTTGTATACATTTTTACTTGTATACATTTTTATTTTTACATTTTGTATTTTACATTAAGACGCAGAGTATTATATTTGTATACATTTTTACTTGTATACATTTTTATTTTTACATTTTGTAATCAGTTTGTAGTATAAATAGTTGTCTGCATGTGTTTAAACGTCCTGAAGTTCATCCAGTGTTACAAGCTTTTGTTTGTAAAATTTCTAGGTGTTGCTTATGTTCAAAATTTAAAAAAATTATTGTTTGTCTGCATGTATGTGTAGGTACTTGCGTGTGTGTGTATGTGTGCGTGTGTATGTATGTAGTGTGTGTGTGTGAGCGTGTGTGTGTGCGTGTGTGTGCACGGGTTCTTATAGGATAAGTAATTAAGAATTGTTTATAGTTATTAGTTTTTGTTATTTTTATTAATATAGCGGTTGTTGCTGCGCATCACGGCAACAACAGATGAAAGCAATTAAAAAATATTTCCAGCCGTATGTCTGTTCATCATCATTGCATCGTCATCTCTTCTTCTTCACTTCCGTTTTTTATTGACGTCATCATCTGCATCATCATTTCCATTTTTACTTTCATCATTTTTTCTTCTTAGTATTAACGAACCAAATTTACTCATCGTGTTCACCATGTTCATAATGTTCAGGTGTTCATCATGTTCATCCTGCTATCACACTTTCATCATCGCTATCACTCTGGCCATTGGTTCATCATTTAAAAATTTTTAATAATAATTTTTTAACATCACGATTAAGAATAATTATTTGTTTTACACACTACATCATCATCGTTAGTCTTCACCGTGATTAACGTCATCATTTCGACAATCACCATTCGTCATCACTATTACTATTATTATCATTAGCATCATCAGTCGTCATCATTATCATCATCAGTCATCATTATCATCAACAATTTTCTCAACTACATGATCATTAACATGGCAATCAAAATTTGTCATTAAACATCAATTTCCAGGCAGGCTGCTCTTTGATCATCATCATCCTCATCTTCTTCTTCCTCATCATCATCTTCATCTTCCTCCTCTCCCTCATCATTATCCTCATCTTCCTCCTCTTCCTTATCATCCTCATTTTCTTCTTCCTCATCATCACCCTCATCTTCCTCCTCACCATCATGTTCTTCAAACGTCATTCTCTATTGATATGTAATATTATAATTGCGCACACTTGTGCAAGCAAACAGCAGCGTTAAACTTTTATTGTATCTCTTCTTGCGTTATTGCGTGTTCGTTTCTCTATGCCTGTGCGTCTGCCTTAGTATTTTTTGTTTTGTTTTATTTAATTGAAACTCGTTTCGTTATATTTTTGTCTCGTTATATTTTGTCTCGTTATTATTTGTTATATTTAATTATGTTACATATTATTTTGTTCTGTGATGTTTACCAGCATGCGTTCTTTCCTTCAGTCATCCAATCCACCCCTCTTCATTTTTCTTCATGAATTCTTTGCAACAAATTTTTTCAAACCATATTACCGTCAGACACAAGCCGCGATGATAATAATTATCTGATGATTCTGATGACGATGATGAAGTAGTGACGACGATGATGATGACGATGATGAGGTGGTGATGATGGTGATGCGATGGAAATGATGACGAAGACGATGTCATGATGATGATGCTATAATGGTTATTACGATAATTTGATAGTGATGATGATAATGCTAATGATGATGATGATGATGATGATGATGATGATGATGATGAAAGTGATGGTAATAAAAATGATGATGATGATGAGGGAGAAGAAGAAGAAAATGATGATGTTGAAAATGATGGTAATGACGATACTTGATGATGTTGACGGTAATGATGAGGATGATGAAAAATGCTGATGGTGATGATTGTGCTGTTGTATTGGATTTCTAATTATGATTTCCCTTTTGTTTTCTTTTCCAGTTAAAAATGATAGTGAAATGTTTAATTGCGAAGGCATGTCTGTTTGTTTGTCTCTTTTTCTGTCTGTCTGTCTATTTGTTTGTTTGCCTGTTTGTTGATTTTTCTTTTCAAATTTTTATAAACTTTTTCTTCCGCCTTTTTTGTATAGCTCGTTTTTTCACAGAAACGTTTTTGTTTGTTTAATGCGTAGTAAGACTTCGATACCGCCACAACCACTACCGCAATCTTCTTCCTCATCTTTCTCATCATCTTCATCATTTTCATCAGCATTATCATCATCTTCGCCACCACATTCATCAGTGTCATCATTTCAATGTCGTACTGACGTCATATTATAGTTACAACAACAACAACAACAACT